ATTGTAGCTCAGAGCACTTGGCTGGCATGTGTGGGGCATTGGGTTTGGTCCTCAGCACCACATCAAAATTAAATAAATAAAAATGGGGGTATTGTGTCCATATGCAATTAAAAATATATATATACATATATTTTTTTTTAAAAAAAGACTCCAAGCTGGTTGTGGTGATGCACACGTGTAATTCCAGTTACTCAAGAGGTCAAAGAGGATCACAAATTCAAGGCCAGCTTGCACATCTTAAAGAGACCCCCTCTCCAATAAAATAAAAAGATCCACAGATGTAACTCAGTGGTAGAGAACCCCTGAGTTCAATCTCCAATACGGGGGGGGGGAATATTTGCATATCATGTGGATACTCTGACTATAAAACTAACATCTCCCACCCCCAGGCACTGTCTATCAAGTTCTTGAAWGTGGAACACTCAAATGTTCAATTTCTTTTTTCCAAAGGAGGAATAGAAGGGAACATGAAAAAAATACTGCACCACTTTTGGTTAAGATGTATCAGTACATATTTTTTTATTTTTATGTTTAGATGTTGATGAACCTCTATTTTATTCATTTATTTATATGTGGTGCTGAGAATTGAACCCAGAGCCTCMCACATGCTAGGCAAGTGCTCTACCACAGAGCCACAAACCCAGCCTCCGTACCAGTACATATTTTAATGTTTCAGAATGACTTTCAATATTTCTAAATGAAATAAAATATCATTTGATTTTCTCATTGTTTCTCAGTTCTGAAATTACAGTGAGGCAAGTGAGGCATTACCCTTGGGTGCAAAATTTAAAGAGGCACCCCAAAGCTAGTAATCCAGGTAAATAATATGTTGTGTTATGTTCTTGAAAATCAAAATCAATGCCAAAAAAAAAAAAAAATCTCTGATGAATAAAATATCAGAATCTTAAAGACAGGATCTAACCCTGCTGCATGACTCTCCATACTGATTCACTCTGTTTAAGGCACTGTTTTCTAACGTGCTTGACTTTAGGCTAATTTTCCCCGTTCTTCAAGGACCAGCGCTCTCACTCCTTTACTCCTGAACAGCCTTTAAGTGCAGAGATCCTGAGAAACCCAACAACCTGAGCCGCGGGTCCGAGAGCGCCCTCTGCTGACTGACTGGCRCCGCCTGTCACTCACCTTTTCCAGCTTATCAGCATCACTGTTTTGGTCCAAGAGGATCTCAAACATGTTCTGTACCCTGGAGTCTGTGGAAAACTGAACGCGGAGCTGAAGAGAGAGGAGGTATTTATGAGGGAGGCAGAATTGGGTCACATTATTTCGATCTATTCGTCTCAGTAAATATTAGAATTTTACTCTGGAAATAAGCCAATCCCCAAAAACCAAAAGGCCAAATGTTTTCTCTGACATGCTGGTGCTAACTCAGAATAAAGGAACGGGGTGGGGAGGTGCGGGGGAGAAGTATTCTGAATTAGACAAAGGGGAATGAAGGGAATGGAGGGGGAATAGGAAAAGGAAAGATAATAGAATGAATCGGACATCACTATCCTATGTGCATGTATGATCACATGACCAATGTAATTCTACATCATGTACAAYCAGAAGAATGAGAAGCTATACTCCGTATATGTATGTCAAAATACATTTTACCATCATGCGTAACTAATAAGAACAAATTTTAAAAAGTTTATTCTGGGCCCTGGCACATTCATTTATTCATTCAACAAAAGTTAACTGAATAACAACTGTGTGCCAGGCACTGTTCTAGAAGTTGGGGATAGAATGATGAACAAAGTTAAGTCTTTGCCCCTTGATTCACACATCTATTTCCATTCTTTAGCCCATTTGGTCATCATAATAGTCTTGGAAGAGAAGGAAACATCAGCCCAACTTTAGAATAAACAATTCCCTTAGACATTTAAATGCTAACTGATCATAGTTTTTTTTAAAAGCTTCCATCTGGAGTTCAGAAGACCCTTGTTCTAGCCCTGGCTGTCTTGTGTCCTCAGATAGCATCACAATACGCACAGGTAGGTGCTCCTGCTCAACAGTCCTGTGGAGCCTGCCAGTGCCCCTTGCTGTCTCCAGCTCAAAGCATGGAGGTAGGGCTGGCTCTGTCCTGAGGTCCTGCTTCCCTCGTACCCCAGGTTTAAGGGAAGAGGTAAGGGCTACCTTCTCCTGGATGCTGGTGTTGAGCCTCCTCAGTGTCTCCTGGAAGTTCTGGTTTCGTGGCTCAAGGGTGGCACAGCGCTGCACATCCTTGAAGGCCTGGTCCAACTTTCCCAGGTGCTCTAGTGCCTGGCATCGCCGATACAGAGCCTTGATGTCTGAGGAGTTGATGTCGATGGCTAGAGAGAGGAGAGGGCAGAGTCTCAGGACACCAGCTGCGGACCACTTCTTCCACCCCAGCCCCAAATGCAGAATCCTGTCTTCCTTGGAGGTTATCCACCCATGTGGACTATCTGTCCCATACCATCTTTTTGTTAGGGAGACAGTAAGATCCACAGAGTCTTAAGACTGGAAGAGAGCTTTAGAGTCATCTCACTCAGGTCTTGATGCTCCAGTCTCCTCAGGGTTCGTCTGATTGGCGGTTGCATATCTCCTGCAACTGGGAGCTCCCTCCTTCTCAAGACAGCCAGGCAGCTCTGTTAGAGAACCCTTCCCTCTTCCTACCCAAAATGTACTCCCTTTAACTTTGTCCTTTTATCCTAAGTCTGGCTCTGGAACCCCTGAGATGAAATCCAACACTGGTTCCTTGTGACAACCTTTAGGTGTTTGAAGGCAGCCTGTCTGTCCACCTGGGAGTTGCCTTCCTGGGGCTAAATATTGCTGCTTCCTTCAATTGTTTCCGGTTGGTTCCCTCTTTCCCTTTGTGCGTGTGAATGTATGTATGTTTGAGTGTATTACTGGAGATTGAATCCAGGGGTGCTCTACCCCTGAGCTACACCCCCAGATCTTTTTTTGTTTTCTTCTCTTTCTTTCTTTCTTTTTTTTTTTTTTTTTTTTTTTTTGATACCAGGTAATGAACTCAGGTGCACTCGACCACTGAGCTACACCCCCAGATCTTTTTTTGTTTTCTTCTCTTTCTTTCTTTCTTTCTTTTTTTTTTTTTTTTTGATACCAGGTAATGAACTCAGGTGCACTCGACCACTGAGCCACATCCCCAACCCTGTTTTGAATCTTATTTAGAGACAGGGTCTCACTGAGTTGCTTTGTGCCTCAGCAATGGCTTTGAACTCGTAATCCTCCTGCCTCAGCCTCCCAAGCCGCTGGGATTACAGATGTGCGCAACCATGCCTGACTAGTTCTATCACTTCTGAACTCACTCTAGACTATCACTGTTTCTTCAAGGAAAAAAAAAAAAAAGAAAAAAAAAAACTGTAACCAAATCAAAACCCAGTWCAGACCATGCTGAGAGAGGCAGAGTCAGGGGTGGGAGGGACTCACCTCTTGAGGCATCTGAAGCTGCTTGGACGTAGCTCTCCTGAGAAATGGGGGAGGGGAAGGAGACAATTGATAGGGACCCAAGACAAAGACCACCAGAGAGTGTCCTGGCAGAGACAGAAGAAGGTTTGCTGGGCAGCCCCAGGTATGGGAAAGTGGACAGGGTTTGGCAGGATGCAGACTCGAATTTGAATCTGGATTCTGTGACCACCTGGGAGAGCTAGGACAAATTCATGAAGCCCCCTGAGTCCTGAGTTTCATGTCTGCAACGGGAGACGACAGCAACAGCTACCTCAGAGGGCTGTTCTCAAGTCTCCATGAAATTGCATCTGAGAAGCCCCTGGCGTTAGGCTGATCGTGAATTGGGTGAAAGTCTCTCTCCAGAGAATTGGGTTGGGCAGTTAGAGTTACCCTTCTCCACCCCGCGGTGTCCAGGTGAGATGGCCAATTCCTATCAGGAAAGGGACTATCCTCCAGCCCTGCCTCCCAGCCCCAAGACCCCCCAGCCCAGCTCCCACCCCAGACTCTGCACAGACCATCTTCAGGCCACAGGCTGCCCGATTCCGATAGAGCGTGGCCAGCAGAGACTTGTCCTTGGTCAGCTTCAGGGCCTGGCTGTAGCTCWTTGTCGCCGCCTTGTAATCCTGGCACTGGAAGTGCCGGTTCCCCTCCTCCTTCAGCTGTGCCGCTTCCACCTCRGCCATCTGTCTGGACAGGGGCAGCTCTATCTGGTCAGTCCCTCACTCCTGACCCAGGGCAGGGCTCTTGGCCTGAGGTCCAGGGCCCCAGGTCACCACCAGGGTGGAGGGCGGGCATTCTGCATGGAAGGGGCCTACCCGAGCACCCGCAAAATAATCACCCCTGAAGGACATTATAACATTTGCTCAGAGCCTGACCCCTTGAGAGGGTATCTGAGTCCCAGTGCCTCTCAGTCCAGTTGGGTGAAGCCAAGGGCTAAAGGCCTGCACCGTCATCTGGCAGCAGGCCTGAGGGTTCCCAGCACTCTCTCCCTGGAGTCTCCCGGGCAGCTCACCCTCTCAGCAGGCCACTTGCTCCTGGGATGCTGCTCTGGAGTTCTGCCCACCTCRGCCAACAGCTTCGGTCTGCCCCTCCCAGCCCTGACCCAGGAGACTTTATCACTCCAGCCAGTGGCTTCAGACCATATTTGGACACAGGGGCAGGTGTCCCTGGAGTCTGTCATTGATACTCAGGGTCCACCCCCTCCCCAGACTGGACAGTCATGACCACGTGGAGGTGCTGACTGTCCTCTGCCCCTTGAGCATCAGACTCAGGGGCAGTCCTGGGAGCCTCAGACACTCGTACCACAAAGAACAAGAGAAAGATCCAGAAAGGACGGGAACCCCCCAGCAGACCCCCTCCCCAGGCACAGCCGTAATGCCCCATCTCCACCTCCTTCCCAGATAAACATCCTCCCCCTCTCTACCACCGCCACTGCTATTTTGGGAGCAGAGTGACAGCTGAGGGGCTGATGGACTTGGACACAGAGCAGCTGCCCAGGTCCCTGACCAACTGGAGACTTCCAGAAATGCCTTTCTGGCGGGAGGGGGAGGGCAGACTGGAGGAAAGTTCCTTTTCCTCTTCCACTTKTACTTATTGCAACACCTCCACCTGGCTCTCCTGCGTTCACCTGTTGAAATGTCCTCGCTTTGCAGAAAGAGGAGCCTGACCTACCAGCTAGGTGTCRTGTGCCCGGGTAACTATTTGGGTGTGAATGTTTTCACCCGTCCCTCCACTATGTCCTGGGAACATATTCAGCCTACCTCTCTGGTCAGATTGGGAGCTCCCTGAGGGCTCTGTTTCTTCCCCATGAGACTGAAATCAAGGGCCAGGGCTGGRTCAGAATGCAAATTCCCTGAGACCAAGAACTATGACTCCCTCAGCCCAGGTCACAGGGAATTCTCCCAGGACAAGAGGAGGCTCCTCAGCAGAAGCAGGCTTCTGGAGACAAGCTGCATCCACCATCGCAGAGGGGGAGATCCTGGGGCTCAACTGTTATTCCTTCACTCGGGGAGGGCTGCCAAGGCAAATTTACTTAGATGTTCCCACTTGGACTGATAATCTTTCTGCCCTCCCAAGCCCCCAAACTGGGGCTGAGCGCTCGCTTCTGGAGGGAAGGGACAGCAGCTCAAAAAGATTGCAAACCCCCCACCCAACCAGAGAGACAAGCAGAGTCACGTCCTCTGCATGGGCRAATGGGCATTGTCTGCCGGGCTGTGCTCTCACATCCCTATTCCACCCYCACCTCCCATAATTTTCCAACTTGCCCAAAAGACACTGAAGAAAAAAGATAGGTGGAATCACCCATGTCAGATCCTGCTCCTCATCCTGTGACCTTGGACACTTAGACACAGCTAAGTGTGCCTTGGACAGGCTCTACTTCCCTGCTAAACATGAGGCTCAACCCCACTCCATGGTTGATTTATTTATTATTATTATTATTATTTGTGTGTGTGTGGTGGTGGGGATCAAACCCAAGGCCTTGTGCATTCGAGGAAAGCACTCTACCAACTGAGCTATATCCCCAGGCCCTGATTTTGGTTTTGTCCTCAGTTTTGTTTTTGTTGTGATAAAGGGTCTCACTGTGTTGCTCAGCTGGCTTAGAACTCCTGGGCTCCAGTGATCTTCCTGCATTAGCCTCCCAAGTACAAGTGTGTGCCACTGCGCCCAGCTTAACATGTATTTGTTGAATGAACAAATGAATGGATGGATGAATCCCCTGCYTTCTTGGTATTCTAAGCCCTGGACCCCCTTTGTGGGGCAAACAATGAGGTAATATGATAAGGAGCTTGCCATTAGCAGAGAACTTTGGTTCTGTGATTTTAGGGCTAAGGGACCCTAAATTCAAATCCTGATCAGTAATTTATTCTTCAAGCATTTCCTATGTGCCAGGAACTGTGGATGGTAAGGGAAGCAGAGAACACTCACAAGGGCAAGGATTTGTGCCACTTATTCTCTTACATATTCCCAGTGTCTATAACAATGTGTGGTACATACTAAGTGCTCAGTGGTATTTATTAAATTAATTAGTGAAGTAATTCCATGGAACTCTGATTTCTTTCTCTTTATTTATTTATTTATTTATTGGTACTGGGGATTAACCCAGGGGTGCTCTACCACTAAACTACATCCCCAGCCCTTTTAATTTTTTTTGTTTTATTTTGASACAGGGTCTTGCTAAGTTGCTAAGGCTGGCCTCAAACTTGTGATCCTTCTGCCTCKGTCTCCTGAGTTGTTAGGAGKACCCCACCATGTCCAGCTGGATCTGTGATTTCTAAATGTGAGGAATACTAAGATGTTTTCAAAAAACGCAAAACAGGCCAGGTTTGGCAGCTCACGCCTATAATCCCAGCAACTTAAGGTAGGAAAAGGTAGGAGGATCACAAGTTCAAAGCCAGTCTCAGCAATTTAGCAAGGCCCTGAGCAACTTWGCAAGACCCTGTCTTAAAATAAAACATAAAAAGGGCTGGGAATGCGGCTCAATRGTTAAGCACCCCTGGGTTCAATGCCTAATACCAAATAAATAAATAAAATAAAAATGCTAAACAGGGAACTATGATGTTTCAGAGAAGGTTTTCCTGAATAAGTGATAAATTAGTTTAATGCATGTAGAGTTCTAAGAACAAGGTCTGGCAGAGAATACATGCTCAATACATTTGCTGGATGGATAAATGATTGAATATTTAAGGCCAGACCTGAAGAATGAGGAACTGTCTCTGTATTAGTCTACTCAGACAGCCATAACAGAATACCACCATCTGGGAGGCCCAAACAGAAGACATTGATTTTCTCACAGCTCTGGGCTTGAGAAGCCTATGTTCAAGGTGCCAYCTGGGTTGGACTCTGGTGAGGCCTCTCTCCTCTGCTTGCAGACAGTCGTCTTCTTGGATTCTTTAGTGCTTCCATGTCCTCGAATGTTTGCGCAGGACGAGACGGCGGCGCCCGATTTGCAGCGGCTGCTAGTGGGGAGAGGTGGAGAGACCAGGGATGGAGGGTAGAGTGCGTGTTCTGGACTCTCTTCTCTTCTTATAGGCACCAGTTCAATCTGACTCGGGCCCTGCCCTTATGACCTCACTTAACCTTTATTTCCTCCCTAGAGAGCCTATGTTTTTTGACACATGCATTTCAAAGGACACAATTCTGTCCATAATATTCMCAGACAGGAAAAATAAAAATAACCTGCAACTACAAGAGCACTAGTACAGGAAGAGCCATGCTTTGGACAAGTTCAGAAACAAGACAGAAGGCTCTGATCTTAGAGGGGGGTGGCTGAGACAGTGAGGCTKTGTGGGCCATAAGGAGTGTGGTTCGTTCCTGCATGTAAGGGGAACATTGAAGGGTTTGGGATGAAGAGTCAGTAATAGAGCAGCTTTTTGGTTTGAAAGATGGCCCTGGCTGCAGCAGGGAAGGGATAGAGATGGGGAGGCAGGTCCAGAGGCTGTGGTGGTAGTCCACRCCGGAAGCAATGGTGAGCTGGGTACAGTGGTGCATTCCTATAATTCCAGCAGCTCAGGAAAATGAGGCAGCAGGATCGAAGGTTCAATGCCAGCCTCAGCAACTTAGAATCTGAGCAACTCAGCAAGACCCTGTCTATAAATAAATTATACAAAGGGCTGGGATATGGGTAGGGGTAAAGTGTTCAGGGGTTCAATCCTCAGTACCAAAAAAAGAAAGAAAGAAGTGAAGGTGTGTTACTCAGTGTGGCAGGGTGGCTGGAGTGAATAAGGTTGTGAGGCAGAAGTGACTTAGGAGTTTGAGACTGCCAGAGGAGCCAGGGACAGGAGAGTGGCTGGAGAAGACCCCAAGTGACCAATAAGAGAGCTCATGTTCATTATTCTTTGCTTAGACTCCTCATCAGAAATGTAAGAGAAAAGGGCTGTTGTGAAGATTAAATGAGTTATATATATAAAGCACTTTGAACCATGCCTGACACAGTGCTATCATTACTGTCATTATTATTGCTGTACAGCGCTGGTAACTGTAGATGGTTTGCGCCCCCATCCCCACCCCCCACCTCACCCCCCACCCCACCCCCAATTCTTTGCAGTGCTGGAGATCAAACTCGGGGCCTCATGGTGTGCGAGGCAGGTCACTCCACCACTTATGAGCTACATCCCAGCCCTTTTTATTTTTTATTTCGAGTATGGATCTAGCTAAGTGCCCAAGGCTAGCCCCTAACTGTCATCCTCCTGCCTCAGCCTTTCAAGTAGTTGGAATTATAGGTTTGCACCATCATGTCCAGCTGAGATTATTTGCTTTTGTGCTCATCAATTATTACTTGACTCGATCCATTTTTAAAAAGAATAATAGTTTCTGACTTCGTAAGCCACCCCTGCCAGGTGCGCTGACTGGAACTCAGCCCACTCAGCCTCTGCCGTTTTCTGTCTCTGTGATTTGGAGGTAAGTCACTAACTTCCCAACTCCTCGGTTTGCTCATTTATAAAATAGGGCAAGAATCCCTGTCGCGAAGAGTCTAAAAAGGTTGACTATACCCAGGAAGGCACCGCGGGGACAAATATGGAAAGGCTGTTGATCAGAGGAAGTCCAGAGCCCCGGCTAGGAAGGGCCCGACTCTTCTCCTCCGAACCCCAGAGGGCGCTGTGGCCGTCGGCGGCCACGCGCGGCACCGCGGCGGCGCTCTGTCCCTGCCGGAATCTTTCTCCTCCACGTGGGGACGCAGGATGGCGGCCGCAGTGGTGGTGGGTGTGCTCAGATGGGGCGGGGGCTCCGTGGCTCGGCGCCGGGCGGGGTCCCCGAGGCCGGTGGGAGGCCAAGCCGGGGCCAGCGATCGGGCTGCGAAGCTCACCGACACCCCGCTTGTTCGCGCAGGACGAGACGGCGGCGCCSGATGTGCAGCGGCTGCTAGTGCAGTTCCAGGATGAGGGCGGGCAGCTGCTGGGCTCCCCGTTCGACGTGCCCGTGGACATCACTCCCAACAAGCTGCAGCTGGTGTGCAACGCGCTGCTGGCGCAGGTGAGCGGCCCGGCTTCTCCTCCCCAGGGTGGGCCCAGTGGAGGACCAGGAGATCGAGGATCTGGGGTTCAGGGGCCCCTCCGCTAGCCGACAGTGGATGGCCTGCCTTGCGAGAGGCCCCACCCGCCTCCGCGTGAGGGCAGAAGGTGGGATCCGTGTGAAAGCGCTTTACCCCTTTCACATCGTGTTCACCTGCGCAGAGGCTGCATTTTGAAGGCGTTGGGTGCCAGATCTCCTTGATTCCATGTCACAGTCCCTTTAAGAAGGGACATATTAATATCCCCAGGYGATAGATATGGAATTGGAATGCAAGTCTGAACCAGTGTTCAGACKCAAACCCAGTGTTCTTAACCTTTCAATCAGTGTTTATGAAGTGCTGCTCTCTGTTGGGGTGGGGTGGTGCCTAAAAATGCAGCTCTTGGCCCCTACCCCACTTACTAAACCAGACCAGGCAAACAGTCCGCATTTTAAATCAGCTTTTCAGATGCTTCTTACACAGGTATAGACTAGTGGAATGGTTTGGAAGATACCAAATAATGCTATGAGGTGACCCTAACCCTGAATCTTGCTGTTCTTTTTGCAGAACACCAGATAACCTGAATTARTCACTAGCAATAGGACATTGAACTAATTATTTAGTTGCTCTGAGCCTATTTTTTTAATCCATCAAGTGGGGATAGTAATGTCTGTTTTCCAGGGTGGTTGTGATATGCAGATTATGTGAATGTCCTAAGATTGCTCTTCAAGGATTAAAACATCCTGCTCTATGGGGACTGATAGGGGTATCCCAAGCAGAGTGGCTGTAAAGAAGGCAACCTCACCTCCCACCGCTCACTGGGGAGTGTCCAGGGCAGAGGTGGACCCTGTATGTCCTGCATAGTAGAGTTGCCCTTCACCATTGTTTTGCAGGAGGATCCCCTGCCCCTGGCTTTCTTTGTCCATGATGCTGAAATCACCTCCTCGCTGGGGAAGACACTGGAGTCCCAGGCAGTGGAGACAGAGAAGATCCTAGACATCATCTACCAGCCACAGGCCATCTTCAGGGTCCGAGCCGTGACCCGCTGCACCAGCTCCTTGGAGGGTCACAGTGAAGCAGTCATTTCTGTGGCCTTTAGCCCCACAGGAAAGTAAGGATAGCTGTAGAATTGTGGTTGGGGTCTGGGGATGCCGTCTCTAACTGGGGTGGGGAGAGTGCCCCAGAGTTAAGATTGRTGTTGCCTACCATAGACTTGAGCTCTGCACCCAGTTTGCAAGAAAGGGACTTCCCTATTGAGGTCTGTTTTCCAAGGGCTAAGGATACCTGCCTTGGAAGAGTCTTTCATGGACCTGATGTCAGAGCATGAGAGCTTCAGGTTCATCCCTTCTGAGCTATGTGACTTGAATGAGTCCCTTCACCTTTCTGAATTCATTTATTTCCCCTGAAACTGGGATTCATTTCTTCTCAGAGCCCTCTAAGGATATGAAAAGCTTCCAAAGCTAGTTACAGCCAGGTGTAATGGCTTATGCCTTTAATCCTAGCAATGTTGGAGGCTGAGGCAGGAAAATTGCACGTTCAAGGCCAGCCTCAGCAACTGAGACACTRCTCAAAATTTTAAAAAGGGCTTGGAATGTAGCTCAATAGTAGAATGCTCACCTAGCATGCTCAAGGCCCYGGGTTTGACCCCCAGCACTGGGAAYGGGGGAAGAAAAGGCAGGTTATCACTGTGGTCCTTCCCATCAGGAAGGAGTTAAAGTGGCCTCCTGGGGTTTTCTCCCAAATGGCATCATTGCCATATTTCTCCTCCTCRGGGAGAGGAAGGAGTCCTATCCCAGATTTTGTTCACAAATGGTTGGATAGACAACAGAAATGCACATGTGCAGCATCTGGGGTGCACTGCCACAGTCAAGGGGCCTCTTCTCTTCCGCAGGTACTTGGCCAGTGGCTCYGGAGACACCACTGTGCGCTTCTGGGATCTCAGCACAGAGACACCACATTTCACATGCAAGGGTCAGTATATATGTAGCCACTTGGGGTCTTAAGGTGGCTGACTTTCCAGCTCTTTTTAGTTTGTGGGGAAGCTCAGAGCCAGTGCTAACCCCCCTACCATTTCTAGTTCCCTCTTCCTAGATAGAGACTGTGTCCTTGAGACTAGCCAGCCACTTAAAACAGGTAGAGACTGGACSAAAATCAACATGACCTTGTGGAGAGGAGCTGACTACCCCTTAGCAAGGAGAGCCTGGCTTAAATCCAACCTCTGCCATAGTTTTCTTAGACTTTAGCATACATCAGAATCACCTTCAGGGCTTGTCAAAATACAGATTGCTGAGTTTTTGTTTTGGTAGATCTGGGGTAAGGCCTGTGAATTTGCATTTCCAACAAGTTCCAGATGATGCTGRTGGTGCTAGTCTGGGAACCACACTAGGAGAGTGAGTGCTGTACCATATACTAGGATGATTTTATATGATTTTTATATGTTATATGCTAGGAATATACTGGGATGGTTTTATAGGTTGCAGGTCATGCTGCATGCCTAAGCTTCTGTCTTCACATCTGGAAAAGGATAATTCTTGTCTTGCTCCCTATATTAGAATTAAAAGGGATGTTGTGTGTGGAAACCCTTTATACCACGTGTCCCATAAGGAATTATTAGAAAGTGATGGTATGATATGCGCAGCAATATGCACAGCTCCAGCACTTGGGCTGCGTTCTCCCTCAGCCTAGGATCCTCGTCTCCCCTTTTCTTGGCATTGGTTTTTTGGGCAGTTGGTTTAGGAGTGCTTGCAATGTGCYGTGCATTGTTAGGCACTGAGGATGAAGATGGATGTGGGCCCTCCTTTCTGTCTCCCTTGCTTTCTTAGGACACAGACACTGGGTCCTTAGCATATCCTGGTCCCCAGATGGCAAGAAGCTAGCCTCAGGCTGCAAGAATGGCCAGGTAGGTGGTGTCAAGATAACTAAGCAGCCAGGTGTGGTGAGGTAGTCCACACCTGTAATCCTAGCAGCTTTGGGAGACTGAGGCAGAAGTATCACAAGTTCAAGGCCAGCCTCAGCAACTTAGTGAGATCTTGCTTCAAAAAACAAAAAGGGCTGGGGATGTATCTCAGTAGTAAAGCACCCCTGGGTTAAATTTCCAGTACAAAAAAAAAAGAAAACAAAAACTAAGGACTTAGGGCCAGTTCAGAATAGGGTCCTGGGATTTTCAGGAAGGGTTAGGTGTAGGGGTAGTARGTAACCAGGGGACCTTTGGGATAGGTTGGAAAGGATTATTCAKTGAGTTTCTGTTCTTCAGATTCTCCTCTGGGACCCAAGCACAGGGAAGCAGGTGGGCAGGACCCTTGCCGGCCACAGCAAGTGGATTACGGGCTTGAGCTGGGAGCCCCTCCATGCGTAAGTGACACTAACTGAGCTGGGACAAATTAGCCAGGATCAAAGCTRCCCCCTTTCCTGTTTGATGCAGAGACACTTTCCTGAAGGGTGTGATGGGCATCTGGACGTCAGTAACAGCTTGACAGGGGGTGGAGCCTCTAGATCTAGACCCACCTTGCCACTTGCAAGGAGTCTGCTCGTGGTTGGGCTTGGGAACTGTCTTGCAGAACAGCCAGATCTTGGGGTCAGGAAGCTATCAGGAGATTGTCCCTGGCCTTTGAGTTGGGAATGGGAGGTGCTATGGGCAGAACGGCATTGCCAGGTCAGAAATAAGAGCCCATTTCCCTTCCCCTTGGTAGGAACCCTGAGTGCCGCTACGTGGCCAGCAGCTCCAAGGATGGCAGTGTGCGGGTCTGGGACACAACTGCAGGCCGCTGTGAGCGAATCCTCACYGGGCACACGCAGTCAGTCACCTGTCTCCGGTGGGGAGGAGATGGGCTTCTGTACTCTGCTTCCCAGGACCGTACCATCAAAGTCTGGAGGGCCCATGATGTAAGAACTGAGAGGGTACAGAAGCCATTCTGGCAAATTTGGGGGCACACAGTGCTGGAACTGGGAGCACACTTGGCCTCAGCAAGTCCAGCGTTTCCTGAATGTGCTGAGAGTCCAGTCAGGAGGGTGCTGCTGCAACAAGGGGCCCTGAGGTTGGTGCTGCTTTATTATGGGGATTCCAGCACCTCCTTTCCCCCCATTAGCCTAGTCTAGCTCTGGAAAGTCCTTCTGTGGGAAGCCTGGTTAGCTTTTTAAAACCTACYGTATCCCAAAGCTATTTGACTGGAGCCCTTTTATTCTGGTGGACTTCTCTTCCATGAAACAGGCCAGTCCTCTCATTTCWTATATAAACAGAAACTTGAGCCCATGGGTGGTTTGATTAAGATCATAGTRAATGGGTGCTGAAGTCTCAGGGTCCTGATTCCTATCCCATGCTGGTCTCTTGGGGCTGATCTTCCAAGGTAGAAGTGTGTTATATGTGTGTCTGATCCATCTCCCTCCACCCTAGGGTGTGCTGTGCCGGACTCTTCAAGGCCATGGCCACTGGGTGAATACCATGGCACTCAGCACTGACTATGCCCTGCGCACAGGAGCCTTTGAGCCTGCCGAGGCCACAGTTAATGCCCAAGACCTGCAGGGGTCCTGTGAGTGAGAGGAGGAGGGGAGAGGGCTGCCGGAGAAGGAGCCAGTTCTCCAGCATCATGGGGATGTTGCTGTTTGTACTGGATTTTCTAATCAGCCTTGTTCCCCATCTTCTTTCTCCTGTGGTACCTGGACACAGTGCAGGAGCTGAAGGAAAGGGCCCTGAGCCGGTACAACCTCGTGYGGGTGAGTGTGTGCCAGCCACGTGCTTCCCCAGCTCTGGGTATTTTTCTCAGCTGGTCACTGAAACACTCTCTCAGACACTAGGGCCTCTGTTCCCTTCTAGTCTCTTCTATCCCCAGTTCACAGAGTACCTATTCTGAAAAGTTGTTTTTTGTTCATTTCTTTGAGATAAGGGCTCGCCAGGTTGCACAGGCCAGCTTTGAATTTGCAATCTTCCTGCTTCAGTCTCCGTTCTGGATAGCTGGGAATAGACCTGCACCACTGAAAACCTGTTCTTAATAATCCTCATTTGTGATCCTTAAATGTTTAATGACTGGGGATCATTTTATTTTGTGTGTGTGTGTTTAAGGGCCACATTCACATGGTCTAAGGTTCAAAGTTTATAAAAAGGTATTTTGTAAAACATCACTCATCTCTTGCACAGCCAACCATTCCTTATGGAAGTATCCATTGCTACCAGTGTCTTGTATCTGATTTATATATATATATACACACACACACACACACACACACACACATACATACACACACACATATGTGTGTGTGTGTGTGTGTGTATATATATATATATATTTAGTTGTAGGTGGACAAATACCTTCATGTGGTGCTAAGAATCGAACCCAGTGCCTCACACTGCGAGGCAACTGCTCTACTGCTGAGCCACAACCCCAGCCCGTTCCTCTTTTTAATATACCAATCTGTACCTGCTTTGTCATATAATTTTATATCATAGAAATGATTCCGTGAACATACAGGATTTCATTTTCCTTTTGGGTGAATTGACTTGCCTGGAGTCACGTGTGAACAAGTAGCCTCATTGCTCCTAGTTAGCCCTAGCCTGTGTCCCTGGTGTGTGCGGTCAGTGTCTGACCGTATCCAATATGGTGTACTTTCTGCCCCCCTCCCCAGGGCCAGGGCCCAGAGAGGCTGGTGTCTGGCTCAGACGACTTCACCTTATTCCTGTGGTCCCCAGCAGAGGACAAGAAGCCCCTCGCACGGATGACGGGACACCAAGCCCTCATCAACCAGGTGCTCTTTTCTCCTGACTCCCGCATTGTGGCCAGTGCCTCCTTCGACAAGTCCATCAAGCTGTGGGACGGCAGGACTGGCAGGTGAGTTGGGGGGCAGTGTGCCGCTGGACGCAGTGGCTATAGAAGGTGCTTGATGTTGCCTCAGCAATTGTCTAGATTTCTGTGTTTCTGCCTCTTTTTCAGTATTGTTACAAGGATCAATGAGATAGTATATTTGGGACCAGCACTAAGTAGGCACTAAAAATGCTAGATCCCTTCACATCAAAGTAAAGAAATGACCTTAGAGCTTGCCAGAGGGCCAAGGGTGTGGCAGCCCTCGAGAAAGTGGAACCCTAGGTAGGACTGTGGTGCAGTCGTTATGTTGCCCTCAAAGTGTGATACCTGGGCCAGTGGCATTGGCGTCTCCTGGGAGCATAATGGAAAATGCAGACTCATCAGGTGATACTGCTGCCAGTTAAAAGTGTCAGAAGCTGTAGTGTAAGGGGTTATAATGTCTTGGGGTTAATTAGGTCAGAGGCAAGGCAAAGACATGCATCAGGGACAGGAAAAAGGGGAACCCTTGTTGGGGCTGAAGGGAAACTGAGTGTCAGTTGTTGTGTATTTTCACACAACACCTCTGGGTAATAAGTTGTTTAATTCCTTTTTCAAATAAACTGAGTCTCAGGCCTAATGGCTTGTCCAAACTGTCACAGATAGACTATATTGACTTGAAAGTTCCAGGTGGGCCTGGCCCACAGTTACTCCAGGCCACCTGTCAGCGAGCAGCTGCTATGCTGGGGGATGTCAGGCAGATGGGCTAGGCAGGTGGCCACACTGATTCTAAGGCACTCGAAGCCATGCAGGTAGGAAGCCTGGCACCAGACACCCCAGAGCAATTCATTTAGGGAAGTTTTACAAAATAGTAATGACCGGCAATGATTAAAATGGCCTGGCACGGAGGCCAGGCAGCACAGTTCTGTAAAAATTCCCAGGTAATTCTAGCAGACAGCCAAGGCTGAGAACCACTGCTGTGGGAATGGGGGGCACTTCATACCTGTTTCATAATCTCCATCATTATCTTCCCTGGCCCAGGTACCTGGCTTCCCTGCGTGGCCATGTGGCTGCTGTTTATCAGATTGCATGGTCAGCTGACAGCCGCTTGCTGGTCAGTGGTAGCAGTGACAGCACCCTGAAGGTGTGGGACGTGAAGGCCCAGAAGCTGGCCACAGACCTGCCAGGCCATGCTGATGAGGTGGGCTGACACTGCAGGCAGGAGGGGGCTGGGATTGCACCCTAGCCCTTCTCCCCTCACCGTTCCACTGTCCTTCCCCTCCTCTTCATGTTTAGGTTTATGCTGTTGACTGGAGTCCAGATGGCCAGAGAGTGGCAAGTGGCGGGAAGGACAAGTGCCTCCGGATGTGAGTGTGGGGAGGTGGTGTTTRAGGTGTTCCTCTTACCCTTGAGTGGGTTAGTCCCTCTTTGCATTCTTTCCCTTGTGGCATGGCATTCTCAGGGACCATTCTGGTACTCAGAGTTTGCGGTGGTGTGTAAAGCCAGGTCCTCAGTGGGCACGTGGAGGGCTGCAGGACTTAGGGAATTTGTGAAGCCCTGACAGCACTCAGGCTGCTTTCTAGCAGTGTGTGCAGGTCRCCAGCACAAGGCACTCAATCTTTGTTAGAGTCCTGAGACCTGAGTGCAGATCCTGGTTCTGCTTTTTGGTGTGAAATCACAGGAAACTTAATCTGGTTCTTGGGAATTTTTGAACCTTCATAGAGGATCACGGAGGAGGACAAACACACTCTGACACTGAAGCACTTGCAAAGGATTGTCACTGGTAGTGGGCATCAGAGTCCAGGTCCCAGGTGGAGTCCTGGCTGAGGCAGGCAGGGGACACATAGCCTGGGTTTGCATGGCTAGAGGAGGTACAGTGCCAGGTTTTGATGACTCTCAGGTCATCAAAAGATCATCCCGGGCTGGGGTTGTGGTTCAGTGGTAGAGCGCTCGCCTCACACATGCAAGGCCCTGGGTTTGATCCTAGCACCACATACAAATAATAAAGTTTAAAAAAAAAAAAAAAGATCATCCCCCACAGTGGGCTCCTGGGATTGTGCAGAGGCATCCCAGCCTGATTCCTTCTCTTCCCCACAGATGGAGGAGATGAAGTCTCACAGTTCTGACTCCCACCTGAACTTGGCTTCTGCCTGCTGCCTGCCCTGCCAGAGAACAAAGACCAGGATGGGAGTGCACACCCCCTCCTCACCAGCAGAGGCCTCCTGTCCTTGACAGACCCTGGTGGGGTCTCCCCACGGGTCCTTTGCCTGCTCTAGGCACTCTTAGGTCCCTTGCTGGTGCTGGCAGCAGTGGAGAGGCCAGGCTGTATATGAGGCCTCCGTTGTTACCCCCGCCTCTTTTTCCAAGTGTCAGCTATGTTCAGGGTCAGACCCCAGATTCTATGGCCAAATAAATAATTTATATATTGTGTGTTCAGGTTACAGTTCCTTGTCCTAGAATCCTAGGGCTCAGCCGTGAACCGTGCTAAATCTCTGACCCCCTTCCTTGTTCTGGGTGATAGCAAAACCATTCTGACCAGGAATTGCCCCTCCTCTCCCCCATGCATAAGGGAGAGGCCAGTGTGACCGTGGCCAGAGGACAGGTTAAAGCAGTGCTGTCCATGGCAGGCACTGGCCACATGTGTCTGTGTGCACTGGCCAGGGTAGAGTACAGCTAGAAAACAGATGCCTCTTGCTTCTCCTGCAGCAATTGTGTTCTGTGCCTCAGAAGGCCATGGGCAAGCGGGAGGACTCCCTCTCTGACAGGGTGGCAGTGGGGCCATACTGTGAACACTCTTAACATTTGTGGGCATGGGTGTTAGGATGACTGCCCTGTGAGAACCTTCAAATATGAAAGGAATCCCCACCAAGACCTCCTTAGGCCCTTGACGAAGACCTTGCCCTGCATGCATCCCGCCTCCATTTCTAATACCTCATTCCACCCCACCCCACCCTCACCCCCGTCCCAGCCCTGCCTGTGCTTTTGAGACTGCACAGCACCTTACTGGATCTCAGCCTGCACCTTGCACATCTCTCCCTCGGCATGAGGGCAGAAAGAGCTGCCAGTTGCTGCGCTCCTTCCTAGTGCAGGTACTTGTTCTGCTGTGCTCCAAGTAATCCTGCACCTGTATCTGAAAGGTTCTCTGTTCCTCATACTTTTAATGAGCTACCGAGTCCAGGAAGCTTACAGGATTTGCCCCTGCCCTCACATCAAATAAGGGGAAGAGCCATGGTTCAATCAGACCCTGCTCCAAAGCCGGTGTTCTTTGCACTGTGTCCCTCCAGAGCTCAAATCTAGCACATGGTCCATGGGCTGCCACCGCACCTGTCCAGGGTCACTCTCTGTGAAGATGTTTTAGTCTTTGAGTACCAGTCCTCCCTCCTCCCCCACCACAGGCAGTGGCAGAACCAAACCGCAAGGGATGGTGGTCCTGTTTTCCACCTCCCCCCCAACCTATCTGGATTCTTGCTCCTAACAAAAGCTTGAGGGTGGGTGGCAGCTAGCCCAGCTGAGGCTATCTGCAGCATGAAGAAAAACTTAGGGGTGCTGGATGACCTGCAGTTCTTTAATGAGGAATCTGGACCCAGCCCAGATCTGGGGAAGGAGGGAGCCTAGCAGCTGTGGGCAGTGGCTGAGCCTGGCCTGGCTTAGCTCAGACTGAGATGTCTCCAGGTGAATGGGGCTCCCCTAGGCTTGGCCATGGCCCAGGGGTAGGGTTCCAGTACCACTGCCTCCAGGCCCTGGCCGGCAGGGTAGTCAGTGGTTCTCTGGCATGGTGATGGTGGTACGGTACATCTCATGGTCTGGTTCCTAAGGGCCCTGGGCTGAGGCTGATCCCCAGTGAGGGGTGTCCGGGGCCCTCTACTAGTAAGGAAATAGGTATTCCAAATCCTCCAGCCTCCGCATGTCCTCCAGCCCAATGGACACAGTTCTCCGCTGGGGTTCCTTGCGCTGCACAGTGATCTGGATGGGATTGTTCTCAGGAAAGCTGTTAAAGTCACTGGCCACAGTTGCAAACTAAAGTGAAACAAGAAAGTCCCTTAGATTCCTTCCCAGACCCAAGCCTGGCTTCCTCTCCCTTTGGCTTCCTCTCTCTGCTCCCTTTTTGCCTGCTAAGTGTGATCTTAGCCTCATCCAACCCAGTCACAACATACGACACAGGTCCAAAGAGGTCTGACACCAAGGTGTACCTCCCCAGCTGTGGACTGTCTGTTCCACCCCTGGACCCATGCCCACCCCAGGCCTTCCCTCCTTCCTGCAGTTCCTGGACTAAGTTAAGGAATCCAAAACCAAAGGCTTTGGAGAAGGAACATTGTGGTGAATGCATTCATTTGCATTCCTAGCAGGCTTAATCCTGACAGCTCCCAGAAGAACACACTCTGGCATTTTTTCCAGACAGAAGAAAAACTAGCAAGGACATTGGGGTGGGGGGGCCAACCTCCACAGCCCTGGTTCCAGCCCCCAGACCCCTCTTCCCAGGGCTCACTTTGTATGGCTTGCACCATTTCCCCACCCCAGCCGTGTTGGCTGCACGGACGGTGAGGCAGTAACTCGTGTTAGGCTTCAGCTCCATCAGCTTGACGGTGGTGCCCAAGATCTTATTGAAGATCCAGGGACGATTCTTTGCCTTGGGTGGCTCTTCGTCTTTTTTCTTGCTCACCTCCTGTAAAAGGACCTGGTAGAAACTGACCTGCTGCTTGCCCAAAGTATAGGTCCAGGAAATCTAGGGGAAAGAAAACCCGAAGCTCCCTTAGACCTGGCCTGAGCTTCTGTGGATCAGAAGTCTTCTTTCCATCCCCAGTTCCTGCTGGAGTTCAGGCAGGTCTGAAGGAAGGTGTGAGAAACACAACACTGCATGTGGCCCTACAGCATGGGCCACTCTCCCTGGGCAGCCTCACCCACCTTATTCCATATTTCTAGACTGTCTGTATGAGTTGAGAGAGACCTCAGAAATCATCTTGTCCACCTCTTGCATTGCAGGTGGCATTACAGATCCAGAGATGGCAAATTACTGGCCCATGGTCACATAGTAATTAAATGACAGCCAAGGTTCAAACCCATTGCTCCAGAACCCATACCCTCCACTACAGCAATGGTTGCAAGCCTAGGTCGGCATCTCGTGGAGTTTGCTAATACTTCACGTTCCAGAGCCTGCTGTCTCCTTTCTGGTCTCCCATTTCCAATTTCTTCATCTAGGCCAGTGGTTCTTAAACTTAGGTGTGCATTAGAATACCCTGGAGGACTTATTATAACAAACTGCTGGCCTTCATCCCCACTGTTACTGGTTCAGTAGGCCACACTGGTTCTGATTCAAGTGAAGATGAGAATTTAAATTTCTGTCAAATCACCGCATGAGGCTGAGGCTAGCCACACTTTGAAAAACGCTGCTGTAGGCCATGAGACTTCCAGACTTATCTTCTAAATTGCTTACAGAAAAATATATAAACTAGCCTAATGTTGGAGAACCTCCAGAAAATGAGCCCATGCTCATTTCCCCCACCGTTGCACTCCATTTTTCCTGCACACTCCAGGACAGTGCTGCTTGGCTTGTGGTCCGTGAACTGCAGCATCAGCATCGCCTGGGATTTGTCAGCGGTGCAGATTCCCAGGCCCCTCCCAGCCCCTGTAGGGATGAGACCAGAATCTTGGTTTTGATAAGTTGATAGTGCTCTGTAGGAACACCGGTGAGAAGCCCTGACTTAGGAGCTGGGATCAACGAAAGCAGCTGCCCATTCCTCCCATACTTTCCTACCTACAGCCTTTGCTTGGGTTAGTCCCTCTGTGGAATGCCTCTTCTCCACCTCAAGCTCTACCTCCCAGCCCGAGTGTTACCAAAAGCCACCAAGCTTATTCCTGCAGCTGGAAGTAATGTTTCTTTCCCTCTGAATTTCTGGTGGCACTTGATCTGAATCTTCCCTACAGTCCTGAACCCCTTCTGCCTTTCACTGAAGTTCTATACAGACAAGCCCCTCCCTTGCTCCCTAAACCATGAACTTGAGGTCAGGACACAGGTGGTAGGCAGCTTCCCAATCCACACGGAGCTGAACTCAGCACCAGCATAGCAAGCCTCTGCCACAGGCATGGACTCAGAGAACGTACCACGGCTGTGGAATCGCTGACCGTGTGTTCACAGATGAAAGGGGCCTCCGGCAGGTTCATGATCACAGAGGATTCCGAACGTGTTGAGGAGGTGTCTGTGTCCAGGGCGGGGTTGTCAAGGTCCAACAGGCCGCCAGGAGCCATTTGAGTCTTAGATGCATGGGGGCAGAGGGCCAGGTCCCCCTTTTCTGGGTTCTTGACCAGTGAGGAGAAGCTGAGTTTGTTCAGCTCACCCTCCAGCATTCCTGCAAAGAAGCTGCTGTTGGGCTGGGTCACAGCCAGTTTGACGGGGTTCAAGGAACTGGATGAGATGGGGGTTATGCTGGTGTCATCAGAGCTGTATTCAGATTCTTCCACTGTCAGAGGCTTCCTAGAGCAAGAGGGAGACAGGTGAGTCAGATGAAGGAAGCCAGTGCATCCAGCCTGAGGGCCTGCCTTACCAACATCCCAGCTACTTCTGAACACCTGGGAATACCCTCACTGCAGCAGTGCACCAGATCCAGTTTCTTTCACTAAAAATGTCTGGCCCCCCATTTGGGATGCAATAGGGAAAGCTGCATCTTTAATAAGATCTTTAACTCGATACAGTCAGGCACACCTGTAATAGCAGCCACTCCGGAGGCTGAGGCAGGAGAATTGCAAATTCAAGGCCAACCTCAGTAACTTAGTGAGCTCCCCTATCTCAAAATAACAGGACTGAGGATATAGCTCAGTGTTTAAGTGCCCCTGAGTTTAATCCCTAGATTGAAACAAACAAACAAACAAAAAAAAGATATTTAGAGGATTCTCATGCAGGTGTTGTGAAAACCACAATTTGAGAAACTGCTAAAACTTGAAGTCCTCCCTTCAAAGTGAGGACAAGAACCCCAGAGAATGACGACAGCGATCTACTGGAGTGGGGAAAAATCCACAAATATCTAATAAAAAATAGAGTTTCGGTGGGTGTAGTGGCACAGGCCTGCAATACTAGTGGCTTGGGAGGCTAAGGCAGGAACATCACAAGTTCAAAGCCAGCCTCAGCAACACAGTGAAGCCCTGAGCAACTTAGCGAGACCCTGTGTCAAATTTAAAAATAAGCTGAGCGTGGTGGCACATGCCTGTGATCCCAGCAGCTCAGAAAGCTTAAGCAGGAGGATCCCAAGTTAGCAAAAGTAAGGTGCCTAAGCGGATCAGTGAGGCCCTGTCTCTAAAGAAAACACAAAATAAGGCTGGGGATGTGGCTCAGTAGTCGAGTACCCCTGAGATCAATCCCTGGTACTCCCCCCCCCCCGCCAAAAAAAAGGAGGAAAAATAATAATTAAAAGTAAAATGGGCTAGGAAGGTGAATCAGTGGTTAAACAACTCTGGATTCAATCCCTGGTACCAAAAAAAAAAAAAGTTTTAATAGTATTTATCTAATATTGTTTAATATTCAAAGTAATTTACATTTAGTAACATCTAATGATATTTATCATGTAAAATTAAGTCTAGATTATGTTCAATACACATTGATTGAATGCTCAAAAGCGTTCTCTATTATGATTTTTTTTAAATCATGGAGTATTGCTGTGTACGGTGGTGCATGCCTGTAACCTCAGCAACTTGAGGCAGGAGAATCACAAGTTCAAAGCCAACCTCAGCAACTTAGCAAGACACTGAATAGCTTAGCCAGATCCTGTCTCAAAATAAAAAGAGCAGATGATATAGCTCAGTGGTAAATTACCTCTAGGCTCAGTACTCAGTATCAGAAAAAGAAAAAGGAATATTTTAGATATATACAATAAATAACATATTGAACTTTCATTTACCCCTCACCCAGCCTCAGAAATAAAACCTGCAGCATTTTGCCTTGTCTATAGCTCAGTGGTAGAGAGCTCCCATGTGCAAGTCCTGGGTTTGATCCCTAGCACCACAATAAGCAAATAAAACTATCAGAATTATTAAAGCCCCCAGATGCTTCCCCCTTACCACACTCATATTCCCATTGTAGAGTACATTTTAAAAGTTTTCTATTATTTACTACATGCCTTTATGGGTCTATCACATACAGATATTATCCCTCAGCAAGATCTATTAATTTTCATGTTTTTCAGCTTTATGTAGATTAAACATACTATTCAGAACATATCTGCAGCTTTTTTTTTTTCACTCAATGTTCTGTTTTGATTCATGTCTTTTGATACATGCAGCTCCGCTTCAGTCATTTTAACTTTTATGGTTTTCCATAACATGGACATTTGTATCATTGACAGTTTTTTGCTATTACTAAACAACCAACTTTATATACGATTCAGTTTTCTACTAAAAAAGGGCACCAATCCAAAAACTTTGGCTTTCAAATATTTCTTTTTACCTTAACCCAAAGTAAAAAAAAAAATACATATTAAATGGCTACTTAGTATACATACACATAACTAAAACGTTTCACAGAGCTGTGTGATGTGCTCTGGAATCCCTGGTTGCATTTGAATTCATTTTTATCATACTGGTCTCCACCAACTAGAATGACTTTCGGAGCTGTTAATGGGTCAGAACTCACAGTTTATGTGTCCTTGACTCCAGGTCAGTCTCCTACTTGATGGAGATTGATTGGCCATATTTTTCCTCCCCAAGCTCCAATTTATCAACCCCCTGAGAAACTGTGATTAGGCCAACACCCTCACCCTTTCTATTTCTTGATAAACATTTGGAATAAATGATTCCCCCCAACAAGGTAGGCTGAAGAGTCTAGATGCGATATCATTTATATTTCAGATTGTCCTAATATGTATTTCAGATTCATTTATTGGAAATGCTGGTGGTAACATGAACAGAGAAGGCCCACTAAGGTGTCAGTCTGGATGTGTCCTCTTTTCACAACAGTCCAGCTGGATGGGTGTTAGCCCCATTTTACATCTGAGAGCCCAAGTGTCTCTGATATTAATGAACTTATCTGAAGCCATATATCTAAGTTGTAGAGTGTGGATTTCAACTCAACCCAAGACCTTTTTCCACTACACCATTAATTTTCTCCAAGCATTGGGTACTTTAACCAGATCTTACTTACAGGACCTTAGGAAATGGATACCGCATCCCTCCCATATCATCAAGACCAACTACATAGTGTGTGCAAACTGAAGAGTGGAGCCCCTCGTCCGAAAAATTACTAAGGATTTTTAGACAGTGACAGCAAAGCATTGAACTAAGTACAACCCTCTTCTGAAGTGGGGCTGCATGTGACTTGATAGGTCATATCCATGAAACTGCCTTGCTTACAGTTCCCTTAGCCCACATCACCCTGCGCCAACACCCCTTCCCTGGAGATTCTGCTCAAATACCACTTTCTCCAAGAAGCCTCCCCTTCTCTGCACCCTCTCCCAAGAGGGTGATACCTTTGGTTCCTCTAGGTGTCCTATCCTAGCACCAGACAGTGCTGTATCATTCTCATTATTGTCTGAGGCTCCTGCACTCTCCCCACCCTGCCACATATTAAGCTAGCTGCTCCTTGAATGCAGGGAATTCTGCCCTACATTCCCAGAACTTAATATTGGGCCAGACATCCTGCCAGCAGAAAGAGTTTTGAGGCATGAAGTAGAGGAAAATCAGACTCTGAGAGTAATAGTGAACCTCAATGGAAGGAAGGAAGGCTATGGGGAGTATCATCAGGCAGATGAAGGCATCAGAGGGGGAAGATTAGGCCATGGGGTGCATGCAGGGGGGAGGCAGGGGAAGGGTAAGGACTCTATCCAGACAAAGCAGGATGAGAAGGACCATCAACAAAACTCTTGTCTAATCCAGGAAGGCCTCATGGAGGGGGCAGCCCACATGCTCTGAGAACAGACTTGGGGGCAGAGGAACACACAGACAGGTCCAAGCTGCACACATGCTCTTCCCTGAGAGTCCAAGGAGGGTTGAGACAGGTCAAGGAAGTCAGGTTTCTTCACATCTCTCTTCCCATCCGCATCTCCAGCCTTAGAAAGAAGGGAAAGGCCGAGCACGGTGGCGCACACCTGTAACCCCAGTGGGTCAGGAGACTGAGGCAGGAGGATTGAGAGTTCAAAGCCAGCCTCAGCAACTTGGCGAGGCCCTAGGCAAATCAGCAAGACCCTGTCTCTAAATAAAATACAAAAAAAGGGCTGGGGATATGGCTCAGTGATTAAGTGCCCCTGGGTTAAATCCCCAGGACCAAAAAAAAAAAAAAAAAAAAAGAAGGGAGGACCATACTGGTATCTTACATGAGATTGTTATCTGACTCCAAGAAGTTAGCCAAACTGCCTTTTGAAGAAAGTGGGAGTCCTTTGGTAGCAACAGCCCTGTTCATAAAATTGGGGTTTGGAAAAGGCTTCGGTAGTTGATCGAGCGCATTCATCACGTTGAGGTTTTCCTTCTTCAGTAGGGCTTCCTCCCCATCCCCCACTTTAAAAAGTGTCTCTGATGCCATCTGGTTTGGGGGAACCACAGCCATCAGTATGCAGGATAGCCCAGCTAATAGGAAGTAGAGAGAAACTGGAGGACAGTAGGCCCACCCTTAGTTTGAGTGGGATGGGGCTGCAGTGAGCTGACTTCACAATCATCACGGAGTGTAACAATTAGGGGCCAGCCTTGCCCTTGATCTGAGGCTCTCACTACAGCTGGCCAGACCTAGAGCCTGCGTCAGGAGTGGGGTAGTTAGGAACAAAGCTCTCTAACACACCGTAGTCACAGTAGCCCTGGCCTCTGAGAACCTCAATGTGTTTAACACCTGTGCCTTTCAGAGCTGCTGTGGAAGGAGAAAAAGGATGGTGAGAGAAAGGCACTTGGGCACAGGAGGAGGCAGCACCCAGGAGGGCCACCAGGGTGGGAGACTTTGCCTATAGGTGCTGAGGCCCGATCTATATCCTGACACACAGGCCAAGCAGGATGTTGCATAGGCACTAGGAAAGCCCAGGTGCTTTCTAAGAGCTTAGAACTCGCGCATAACCTGGTTTTACTGCCAGAAGTCCAAACGTGCTACACCCTCACTTTCAAGTGACTTGGCGTTGAGTGACAATGGTAGCCATTGCAGAGGGATTCCAAAACAAAGCCAGACATTAGCTCCACTCTCAAGAAAACCACCTCTACAGAAGGAAAACATTTCTGTCACTTCTGGGGGCAGGGGGCAGGGCTCTTAGAAACAGCACTGGCTTTGCATCTAGATGTACACTTAGTGTGAGTCCAGCCCTGTACCAACTAGCTGTGTATAACCTTTGCTAAGTGACTTTTCTGAGCCTCAGTTTCCTCACCTATAAAATGTGGATACAAATAACACCTCCCTCATAGATTTGTGAAACTGTTTTATTTCTTCCAGTGGATGTGGCAGACCAAAGGCCATTTCAAAATACCAAATTATATTTTTGTGTCTCATATGTACTTGAGGTTACACAGACAACCCACCCCTTCCACCCCCACACACACAGGAAAGAATTTTGGGAAAATACAGAGAAGCAGGTGACTTCGATGCACTTTGCTGCATCTTAGCACCTGTTATGTAATCTGTAAGGATCTGATTGATGTCTTTGATTCCTTTTCCTTGTCAGTCTYCCTCAATCATATGTAAACTCCTTGAGGGGATGGGATTGTCTACTTTGCTTAACTTTGTGTCCCCAGCGTTTGAAACAGAAGCTGGCGTTCAACCTTCTTTAGAAGGTTGGCGTGTGTGTTGGGGAAAAAGTTGGGAGCCGAATGCAGCTGAATGTGGGAGGCTCCTAGCGCCCAGAGTCGAGTGGCAGGCAGAGTCCCGCTGCTCATGGGAGCAGGAACCGGGCGCCCGAGTCCGGCTAGGTTCGCCGCCGTGGATCTGCCCGTGMTGCCAGCAGATGGCGCTGCAGGCCAAGCTCACGTCGCGCGCGAGCCCGGAATCCGGAAGCGGAGGAGAGCGGGCCCGGGGCGCCGGGAGTCCCAGGCGATCCTCGAGGGCCGGTGGGCCTCCCCCTTCTTTCCTGCTGCCTTGCCTCCTCCTTGCAGTCGGCGCGCCAGGGCCCTCTCCTGAAAGCGGATGCGAAGCGGCGTCTGGAGAGGGTCCCGCGGTACCCACGTGACGAACAGTGCCGGAGCTCGTCGGACCGTCCCCGGCCTGCAGGGACATGGGCGTGCTCAGAGCTGGACTGTGCCCGGGCCTCACCCAGGAGATGGTCCAGCTTCTGAAGAGCCGCGGCATCAAGACAGGTGACCGTGTGGGCGCGTGTCCGGCAGCCGCGCGCCCAGCACACAGCCTGGGCACAGCCTCGGGACCCGCGTCCCCTGCCATACCCGCAGGGGGTGCTGCCCTCTCACTGAAGGGCCACTCCCCAGACACTTCTGGAAAGGTTGGGAGTGCGGGAGCCAAACCCGGGCCCCGGGGAGGAGCCCTACTGTGTGCCAGGCCCAATGGCTGAGACTTCACGCAGGCCTCCTGAGACTGCCTGCGCGGAGGCAGAGTGCACCCCGGAATCACAGAGCAGGGAAACCAACGCGGGAAGCCCGGGCTGCCCGGGCGAYAATCACCTGCCCGTGTTTTGTTTATAGTGGTGGACCTGGCTGCGGCAGACCTGGAGGAGGTAGCTCAGAAGTGTAGCTTGTCATACAAGGTGAGCTCGAGATCTCCACGCCCCTTAAGCCTCGGGAGCAGTGAGTTCCAGTGAGGACCTGGGAAGCCCCGTGGGTGGCTCGGTACTGAGTGGTCTGAGTGCCTACCCCTTTTGGCAGGCCCTGGTTGCCCTGAGGCGGGTGTTGCTGGCTCAGTTCTCAGCTTTCCCCTCCAATGGCGCAGATCTCTACGAGGAAATGAAGACCTCCACTGCCATCCTGTCCACCGGCATTGGAAGGTTTGTACATGTATTTGGATAAAAAAGCGAGAGATAGAAGAACGTTCAGTGCTTGGATCAAGAGAGAGCAGGGTTTTTGAAGGCTGGAGTGGGAGCAGTATATAGACAGATGTGAAGGAGAGGCATTGGGACTTCTGAGTTCTTTTATCTTAGAACAAGGTTATAGGGTTTCTCAGCCTTAACACTATTGATACTCTAGAACAGGTAATTATTGATTGGGGTGGGGGCTGTGCTGTGCTTTGGAATATGTCTAGCAGTATGCCTGACCTCTACCCACCAGATGCCAGTAGTACCTCCCCTCCCTGCAGTTGTGACAATCAAAAATGTCTCCAGACATGGCTAAATGTCCCTTGCGTGGAAAATTACCCCTGGTAAGAACTGCTGTCAAACAATACAAGATGTCTGCAGTATCAGCTGGGCACAGTGGCCCAGGTTTGTAATCCCAGCTACTTGGGAGGCAGAGGTGGAAGATTCACAAGTTCAAAGCCAGCTGGGCAAGTTAGAGATTGTTAGTTCCCCTTGCATTAGCCTAAGAAGAGCAAGTAGCAGAGATAAGGCTCAAGTCCACGGGTATCTGACCCAGAACCTGGTGCCTTTGCCACACTCTGCAGTCATAGAGAACAGGGGAACTCACCAGAAGGAGCAGTTACATTGTGCCATGTCTTTTAGGTTAGGAAAGACTTGGAAGACAACAGGCGCTTTCTGGCCAAGTAAGTCTGATCTCTCTTCTGGCCTGTTTGTGCAGAGCTTGATGAATAGCTCTGCCACCACAAAGGCCTTTGGATTGGTCTGGCTGGCCCTTACTGTTTCCATAACACATTCTGTTGGCAAGGTTCATACAGCATGGTGCTTGCTCTCACTGGTTTGGGGTATGAGTTTGTAATCCAAACTAGTGGGTGCCAGACACATGCAGAGAATACATATGCGAGTGAGGCAAGGCTCCTGCTCTTAGGAGTATGGCGTATAGTGTGTATAGGAGGAAAACATGAATAGAAGACATGTGGATGCACACAGGGAAGCAGTCCCACGGAGGGAGTGATTAACAGGAAGCAGATTGGCCTCTGGGCTTCAGAAGCTTTTAAACCAACATACACAGAGGGAGCAGTCAAATGGCAAGCTGATAGGTTACTAGCAGGTGCAGATCAGAGTGCTGGAAGACCCTGGAGAAGCAGGGTCTTGGCCTTGAGGAATAGATGGACTTTCCCCGAGTGCTTAGCAATTCCTGATACATTATGTCATTTGTTCTTCACAACCACTATTGAGTGAGTGCATTGCCTTTAAAATCATCATTTTAACTGGGCTCGGTGATGCACATCAGTAATCCCAGCTACTTGGGAGGCTGAGGCAGGAAAATTTGCAAGCTCAAAGTCAGCCTGGCAACTTAGGGAGACCCTGTTTCAAAATAAAAAGGGGTGTAGCTCTGTGGTAAAGAGCACCTGGGTTTAATACCCTGTACCCCCCCMMAAAAAAAAMTCATTTTCTTGATGAATAAATTGTGACTCGGGTTAAATGATTTGCTGAAGATCTTACTTTACCAGACTGGGCACTTGATGTCCTGTCTAACAGCCTAACTGATCTGCTGTATTGCCTTCTTCGAGGTGGGAGGGCATTGTGAAAGTAGAGTTCCAGGCAGTGGGGTAGAGCTGTGCAGGGTAGATGAACTGAGAAAGATCAAGCAGGGGTCTGGTGGTGCCGATGCAGGGTGTATGAGTCTGATCCAGGACAAGTGAGATTTGGCAACATACTGAAGAAGAATTATACTAACAGGTAGGATACAGATATGAAGAATCAAAGGTGACCTCCTCCCAGTGCACCGTGGGCAGTTAATGGACATAACTTTAAAACTTGGCTGCGGGGAGGGAATTCTTATGTCAGAAGTTTGAGAAATGCCTGATTGATTCCAGTTAAGCAGGTTTCTTTGTTGTAAGTGTTCTCAGAGCCTTTGTGCTGTGGGCAGTGTGAATCTTGGCAGAGTAATAGAGAAGGTAATGTACCTTGGAAAAACTAGATTCATCAGAGAGAAGGTGGTTCCATTCAAGCAAGAGCTTTGTCTGTTCATCTCTGTACCCCCTCATTTTATAATAAGGCCTTCAGGAAATATGAGGGATTCAGGTGATGTTTGAATGAATAATTGAAAGAGTGATTGAAAGGTAATTCAGAGGAAAAGATAGAGGATAAACCCCAGCAATCACTGGCATTCTAGGCAGTGGTGGCCAGGGGTTCTTTTTCATGCTGCTGTGCTGCTAGAGGGATATGGAATATATTGGTAGGAAGGTCCTCTACATAATTGGAGGAAACATGGAAAGGAACWCAGGTGGATTTGGGAATAGCTCATGTAGGCTGAACAAGGCAACCAAGGATGTGGTTGGTTCTTGACTAGAGTTAAGCCCACTGATTGAATCCTGGCTGCACATTAGAATTGCCTGCGTGACTCAAAAAGAAACTCATGCTTAGGTCTCACTTCTACAAATTCTAACTTAATTGATCTAAGCCAGTGATTCCTAAACTTGTCTGTGCATTAGAATCCCCTGGGGAACTTATCAACATCCCAAAGCACAAGCCTCCCCCGAGACCAGTAGGATTCCCTGGGGGTGGGACCCAGGCATCAGTGTTTTTTATTTTTGTTTTTGAAACTCCCACCTGACTCTAGTGGGCGGATAAGTTTGAGGAACTGCTGATAGAGGCATCTTTTTAAAAACTTCCCTGGAGCCAGGTGTGGTGGCACACAATGTAGTCCCAGTGATTTGGAAGGCTGAGGCAGGAGGATGACAAGTTTGAGGCCAGCCTCAGAAATTTAGCATGGCCCTAAAGCAACTTTAGCAAATGTCTTGCTAAAGTGGGACAATTACAAAAGTGCTGCCTGGCATGTCAAAAAACAAAAAAGGGCTGGGCGTGTAGCTCAGTGGTTAAGTGCCCATATTCAATCCCCTGTTATCCGCCTCTACCAAAAGAAGAATGCAAACAACCAATAATGAAAAAAAAAAAAAAAAAAAAAACCCGGGCTGGGGATATAGCTCACTTGGTAGAGTGCTTGCCTAGCATGTGCATGGCCCTGGGTTCAATTCCCAGCACCACCAAAAAAAAAAAAAACAAAAAAAAAACCCACAACATAACACTTCCCTGGAAGATAAGTGTGGTGGTATGCCCCTGTAGTCCCAGCTACCCCAGAGGCTTAGGTAGTAAGATGCTTGAGCCCCCAACTTTGAGACCCGTAAGCAACATGGCAAGACCCCATCTCAAACAAAAACAAAACCTTTCCCTATAATGAGAAGGATTGAGAATGACTAGTAAAATGCATCAAAATCACCTGGAGTTCTTATTGAAACCTAGATGTGGGTCCACTGCCAGAATATTTGATCAGTAGGTCAAGATAGGGGAAACGGGATCTTGCATTTCTAGCCATTCTGGAGTGTGGCAGATACTGCTGATCTGGTGACCACACTGGAATAAAACTGGAGCTTCCCAGATCTTAGTGGGAGGGATGGGGTCCAGGAGTGGTGGAGCTTGGATGTGTATTAAACAGGTGATTGTTAAACAGAGACGGTGTGAGCACAGTTATTCCAAGAAGCCATAAGGCTGGAGTGTTAACCAGAGGTTTTGACTGGCAGGAACCTTCGGTCCCTGGGTTTGAAATAGATGGGACAATTACTAGAGTGCTGCCTGACACGTTGCAGGTTGCAGGTCGCAGGTAGGTCATGGGAAGTCTTTAAGAACCATTTTCAGAGGCCTGGAGTCTGTGAAGATGATTGCAGCATCAGAAAAGTGATGCATGTGGTACAGGCTGTGACTCAGATGAAGCTTCAGCCCCATACCAGGCAGGGCAAGTAGGGTGATCTGTTTTATGGTGGTTGAGGGACAGAACCTGGCTTGGGAATTGTCTGCTTCTTAAAGTTTATCCTAAGGCTTGCAGAGCCTGAGTGTTGACTATACAGGAACTAAATAAAATAATAGCCTTGTTCTATTATCATTTCTCTAGTAACCTTTATTGTGTGCCTCTCAGGTCTGGGGCATGTGCTAATGTTGGTGATGCAGCAGGCACAAGGCCTGGTCCTTGCCCCAGGGTGCTCTTACCAGAAGAGGGAGACAGACAAACAAGCAGATAATTACAAACTCCTAGAGCAAATAATGGAGTTCAGCAAGGTTTCGGAGTACAACATCACATAAAAATCAATTGTGTTTATTTATATTCTCAATGAACATGTGGAAACTGAAATTAAAAACAATATCATTTAGAGTTGCACCAAAGAAAATGAAATACTTAGGTATGAGTCAAAAGATTGTGTAGGATTTGCCTGTGAGAAATTAAAAATTGAGGATGAGAGAGATAAAAAATGAATGACTCAAGTTGGGGTTGTGGCTCAGGTAGAGCACTTGCCTGGTATGTGTGGGGCACTGGGTCCAATTCTCAGCACCACATATAAGTAAATAAAATGGAGATCCATCGCCAACTAAAAAAAATTTTTTTTTAATTATTTTGACAAAGATACAGAAGCAAGAAGGAAAGATAGCCTTTTAAACAAATTATACTAGAGCTATTGGACATAAAAAATCTAAATTTCATACTTGATATAAAAATTGACTAAAAATGAGCCAGGCATGGTGGCAGACACCTGTAATCCCAGTGACTCGGGAGGCTGAGGCAGGAGGATTATGAGTTCAAAGCCAGACTCAGCAACTTAGTGAGGCTCTAAGCAACCTAGCAAGACCCCATCTAAATAAAAAGGGCTGTGGATGTGGTTCCTTGATTAAGCATCCTTGGGTTCAGTCCCTGGTACCAAAAAAGAAAAAAGGGGGGAAAAAAAGACTAAAGATGGATTATGAATTTAAATGTAAAACATAAATTTATTTAGCTTTTAGAAAAATCTTGGGGATCTGAGGCTAGGCAAAAGCCTTAGACTTGACACTAGGAGTATAATCCATTAAAAAAATTCACACAGCASTGTCAAAAAAAATGATAAATTGGACCTAATAAAAATTAAAAGCTTTTGCTCTGCTAGAGAGAGGAGCTCCTAGCCAGAGATGACTGGGACATCTCTGAACAGAACCAGTGCTTGGAAGGAAGGTCTTTTCTTCTCTTTTTTTCCCCCCCAACCTCATGATTGATTTCTCTTCTGCCATCAGCTTGGACAAACTGCTTGATGCTGGTCTGTATACAGGAGAAGTGACTGAAATTGTAGGAGGCCCAGGTAGTGGCAAAACCCAGGTATGTGTGAGGCAGTAGCCAGGAAGACTGGTAGAGGTGGGTGCCTAGTCCTGGATCTGTGTGGAGCTTCCACCAGTGTCTTTATGGGTTCAGGAGTCAAAAGAGGCAAGATGGGTGATGAGAGGTGGGCTTGGACTTAGGTGGTTTGTGCCTCYGAAATCTGGACAAAATGAGCTTTGTTTCTAGACCTTCCCTCTCTGAGGGCTCAGGTTCACCTGATGGCCCATTCTCTCTTAAGGTATGTCTTTGTGTGGCTGCAAATGTGGCCCATGGCCTGCAGCAAAACGTCCTATACATTGATTCTAATGGAGGGCTGACAGCTTCCCGCCTCCTCCAGCTACTTCAGCCTAGGACCCAGGATGAAGAGGAACAGGTAAGGGGCAGGACGGTTGGGTTCCTGTGAGACTCTTGACTAGAAGACCCTATTGTCCCTTACACTGCAAAAATGTGGGCTATTTCAGTGAACAGTCACTTCTTGCTTTGAAATTTGAGGTTCTGTTGATACTTCCTATGTCCCTCAAGCTTGCCCTGTTAGTGTCATCTTCCCAGCTTGCATGCCACTGGGACAGTTCTTCCAGGAATCCCTCCCAGCTCCTTGCATATTCTAATCAGAGCTGGCAATCACCCAACATCTGTTTCCAGCCCATTTCTTGCCCATGGCAGATATCATCAATCAGTTGTATCTCTTTCCCACCAAGTTGCAAATATGTTATAGTTCAATACCCAGGCAGATCTAGCCCCTTGGACAAAACCCAGTTGCCATTCTGGACCTGAGTGTTTGTGTCTGAGTGCCTCTTCCCCTTCTCAGCCTTATAATTCCTCTTCATCACCTTCCTCAGCCCCCTGATCCATCTATCCCAAGCCTCTACATTTCTCTCCCATCCCTACAGGCAAGAGCTCTCCAGAGGATCCAGGTGGTGCATGCATTTGACATCTTTCAGATGCTGGATGTGCTGCAGGACCTCCGAGGCACTGTGACCCAACAGGTGAGGCTTCTGTCCTGCCCTTCCCTGCTTTACTCAGCTCTCCAGGTGCCGTCTGTATGTGGGCAGGTATCCTATTACAGACTCTCTTTGGGAATGCATATGTACAATCTGATGACGTCAGCTGTGTGTGCCACTCCCAAAGTGGAATTCCTTAGTATTTATTTCATATGCCTTATTGTTTACATATTCCCCATCCCTGCTAAACAGTAATTTCCTTGAATACAAGGATTATGTTGTATTCGTCTCTTCATCTCTGCATTCCTCACTAAAACCAATTAGGAATGATTTCAGCTGCAAGTAATAGAGATTGTTTGACAGACTTGAACTTTGAGGACATCTAATTATCTCACATGAGTTATGGAGGTTGGCCACTCCAGAACATCAGGGCACGAGGCTGTGTTTCTGATTCTCTTGTTCATCCCCTCATGATTGCTAAGTGGCTGCTATACCCTCAAGTGTCTTCTCTTCACACATCCACATCCACATTCAGGCCAGTGTTGTAGAAACAGAATCAGAATATAAGAAGTAAGGGAGAAGAGAAAGGAATCCTGGAACACAACCTAGGCCCAAGGAACCAGGAGRATGTTAATGCTTGTGGTTTGAAAGATGGCATCAGAGCTCTTCTTAAAGAGCTGTCTTTATTTGGAACCACTTTAGCTATGGGAAAGGAGGCTTTGGAGGAATGATCTAGAAAGAGGCAATAAAATAAAGAGAAAGCAAACTCTTCAATGAAAGAAGTTGGGAATTTGGGGTGGAAGTGAGTAGGAGAGAGATGAGGAGTGAGTCAAAAAAGGAGAAGGTCCTAAGAGGATGGTTGGTGGGAGACAGGAYGTGAGAGAACCCAGAGCTGACCACAGTCCTCTGAATGGGAATTTATGAAGGAGCATTTGCCACATCCTGTGATTTAAACCCCCTCTGCCCACCCAAGTCTTCAGTGAAGTCTGTTAGGCACCCAGCTGGGTCGGGGAAAGCGTTGCTGGAATTCTGTGATGCCCGTGCAGCTTACTTGGAATGGAGAGCTTGTTTCTGACTAGCTTCTGATGGATGTGCAAGCTTGTCCTGCAACGGGTGCCCTGCCCAAGAGGCCACTGGTTCATAGTGGCTGCTTCCCCCAAATCCCTCCCCAGGTGAGGTGTTCTTCGGGGACTGTGAAGGTGGTGATTGTGGACTCGGTCACTGCAGTGGTCTCCCCACTTTTGGGAGGTCAGCAGAGAGATGGTGAGTGCTGTGGCAGAGCTTGAGGGGAGCGGACGGACCCTCATCTCCTGACTCTGGAGTCTGGCCCCGGGCCAGCCCTATCCCTTGTCCTCTGCTTCTCCTCCCTCAGGCTTGGCCTTGATGATGCAGCTGGCCCGAGAGCTGAAGACCCTGGCCCGGGAGCTCAGCATGGCAGTGGTGGTGAGGAAGAGGCTCAGCCTACAAACTTAATTTCCAGTTACAGCTAACTCTTCATTTCCCTTAAATGGCAGCTCTGAACCCAGAGTAAACCCTTTAGGAAAGGGATATAGCCCAATTTCCCCAGGTCAGCTGGAGCTCTGGACTGAAAGGGAAGAAACTGRACCATTAGTAGCCAGGAGGATTAGGAACCAATTTGTTTTTCTTTTTCTTTTTTTAAGTCATGTTTATTGAGGTATAATTTACATAGAGTAGCTCTTCCTTGTTTGAMGTTTGACTAATAAATACAGTTGTATCCAATCTTGTTATCCTACCCAAAGGTCCCTTGATCCCGGACAACCTCGTAATTTTTCTGTCCCTATGGTTTTCCCTTCTCCAGTTTTTCCTATAAATGGATCATTTTGTTGTTAAAGTAACTTTTTCTGCTTAGGAAGTAGTTTGTTTTTTGTTTTCATTCTTTCTTCCTTTCATTTTTTTTTTTTATTATTACTGGGAATTGATCTCAGGGGCACTCTACCACTGAGGCACATCCCATCCTTTTTCTGTTTTATTTATTTATTTATTTATTTATTTATTTCGAGATTAGGGTCTTGCTAAGTTATTGAGGCTGGCCTCAAACTTGCCATCCTTCTGCCTCAGCCTCCCAGGTCACTGGTATTACAGGCATACACCATTATGCCTGGCTAGAAGCAGTTTTTAAAGTCTTCATGCTTCTCATAGGAAGATTTAAAAAGTAATTAAATATAAAATTCAAACTTGTAATCAATCTCCATATCCACAGAAACTTAATTATATTTTATCTCCATAAAATCTTTTTTCTTTGCATATATATTTATACTTTTTTGGGGGGTGAGGGGGTTTCCAGGAATTGAATTCAGGGGCATTCAACCACTGAGCCACATCCCCAGCCCAATTGTGTATTTTATTAGAGAGAGGGTCTCATTAAGTTGCTGAGCACCTCACCCTTGCCGAGGCTGGCTTTGAACTCACGATCTTCCTGTCTCAGCCTCCCAAGCTGCTGGGATTACAGGTGTGCATTGCTGCTCCCGGCTATAGTTATACTTTTAACTAACCTTCTAACTAAAGTAAACTTGTTTAAGAAACCATAAAAAATAACCATTTCAGTCCATCTCCCTTGTTCTTACATAGATCTTTAAGACTGGCATTTTTAGCAGGTTTTTCTTTTTCTTTTTTTTTTTGAGATGGATTCTCACTGTGGTGGCCTTCAACTCACATTCTTCCTAGGAGCTATGCATGTTTTTCCCAGTTTTTAAAATTATGTTAAGATAAGTGGTATAAAATACATTTGTAATGTACCCTTATCACTGTCCATCTCCATGGCTGTTTTCATCTTATAAAACTGAAATTCTGTGCCCATGAAAAATAACTCATGGGCCAGGCACGGTGGCACACACCWGTAATCCCAGTGGCTTGGGAGGCTGAGGCAAGAAGGTCGCAAGTTCCAGGCTAGCCTCAGCCACTTAGCGAGGCCCTAAGCAACCTAGTGATACCCTGTCTCTAAATAAAATTTTTAAAAAGCCTGAGGATATGGCTCAGTGGTTAAGCACCTCTGTGTTCAATCTACAGTACCCCCCCACCAAATAAATAAATAAATGTCTAGAGGCAATATTTCCACATTTTGTGGAAGGTTATACTAATTTGTATTCTCACTGGCAGTGTAGAAGGATCTGTTTTCCTATCCTTTTATTCAARTACAAGTTCTTGGGGCCTTGCTTTCCTGGCTTTTGGATGTCTGTAAGCACCTTCTGTGTGCCAGACTCCGGAATAGGCAGTAGGGATTCAGTGATGAACAAGCCCTAGCCTCTAGGGGCTATCACACTTGCATGCCTCTATGGGAGCCGATCCACCAGATTAGGACTCCTATTCAAAAACTTGTGCTGTGCATGCCTATAATCCCAGTGACTCGGGAGGCTAAGGAAGGAGGATTGCAAGTTTGAGGCCAGCCTCAGCAATTTAGTGAGGCCCTAAGCAACTTATTGAGATCCTATCTCAAAATAAAAAATGCTGGACCCCCCTTATTAAAATATTTTATTTTATTTATATTTGTTTTTTTATGTGGTACTGAGGATAGAACCCAGKGCCTCAAACATATTATGCAAGCGCCACAACCCCCGCCCCATGTCYAGCCCTTTTTAAATTTTATTGTGAGATAAGGTCTCATTAAGTTGTCTAGGCTAGGCTGGAACTTCTGATCCTCCTGCCTCAGCCTCACAAGTAACTGGGATTACAGATGTGGACCACTACACCTTGTTTTCATATCAGTCCTTTTAGCTATTCTTTCATGTTATTCGAAAATATTTCTGAGGTCACATTTTAAAGGCTTGATTGTTAATGATAAGAAAGGTATGATYTAGCATGTAAATATTTGCTTATGATCCCACTTAGATATAAATGAATAATRTCAAGACTATTATAAATAGTTCTGTGAATAAACAGGGTTTCTGTCCCCCATCAGAGCACAMGTGACCAATACAGGYCAAACTATTATTTCCCRAACATATACAAATACATTTATACTTTGCTTTGGGCCGCAGAAACTGTAGTTGAGGTGAAAAGTCAGTTTTAAAACAGGAATTCAACAGCTTTTTCATGCTTGCATTGTGCTTGTAACTTTCTTGTTCATGTGTCTGTTTAGTCAGTCACAGATCATTGTACATCCAGTATTTGAATCATCTTGTATGAATTCGGGTATGAAATATATTTGCACATTAACTTAAAAAAAAAGGGGCTGGAAATGTGATGTGACTCAGTGATTAAGTGCCCCTGGTATCAAACCAGACGACTCTCTCAGGGCAGGGGGCATAGCTCAGTGGTAGAATGCTTGCCTAGCATGCCTGATGCCCTGGATTCAATACCCAGTACCACCAAAAAAAAAAAAGACAGAACTCCTCTTGCCCCCATAAACACACAGGTATATTACAAAGGGCTGGGTGGACATGGTCTCTGGATGCCCATTTGCTGGGTTGGGGGTATAGTGGCTGCAAGCCCACCAGTAACTTCCCTATGGGAAAGTGTGACTAGCACTGCTTTTTCCCAAACARGTGCCACATTGCCTTCTAGTTGGGGGTTAGGCTTGAGGCTTTAAGGTTTTAGCAGAGAGAGCTGGGTCCAGGTCAGGAGCCCTATGATCTAGTCCCAGACCTGCCATGAAGTTATAGAGCCTTGGGGGAGTCACCTGTCTACACCAGGCCTCACTTTTCCCATCTGTAAATTGAAGCAGTAGGAGCAGATGTCCTCTGTACTAGCATTATGGATCTATAAGCCTTTCTGCAGGTGACCAACCACATGACCCGGGACAGGGACAGTGGTAAGTTCAAACCTGCTCTTGGACGTTCCTGGAGCTTTGTGCCCAGCACCCGAATTCTTCTGGACATCATTGAGGGTACAGGAGCATCAGGCAGCAGCCAGCGCACAGTGTGTCTGACCAAGTCTCCACGTCAGGTGAGCCAGCCCCAAGGGAGCGCCAGTGATCTTGGGCCCTGGAGGGAGGTTTCCATGCCCACAAGTGTCTTACTGAATTCTCTGATGCTGAAACTGTGGAATAGGTCTACCCACATGGGTTGCTTAACTCAACTTACCCTTCCCTCTGTCTCTTCTTCCAGCCAACAGGGTTCCAGGAAGTGGTGGACATTGGGACCTGGGAGACTCCAGAGCAGAGCCCAGTGTTTCAGGGAGAGCAGACATGACTGATGCTGTTGATTGGGACAGGAGGAGGCATCACAGTCCCCTACCTTTCCTTCTTAGTAATGTTGCTTTTACTGCCAGCCTGCACCTGGGACTGCAGAAGTTCTCAGMCTGGCCCGAAGAACCGGCTCAATTTCCTGAGCTTCAATCTCTATGGAGGCTCTTAGAGCCAAAGGCCAAGAGGAAGCTGCCATGGAGGATGCACAGGTCCATGCTGGTGCCACATTTCCTCCCTTTGCATCCACTTTCTATATTTCCAATGGAAGCTGAGTTCACCCTGGACATCACTGCAGAGGCCATACTAGTAAATGGAAGAATACTCCTGTGTATCACCATCAGATCTTGTGCTCAGTCCTAGCACAATGATGGGGCCAGAGAGCCACTAGCTTGCCTCCCTCTCTTCCTCTTTTGTTTGCCTCTGTTTTTCCATCTGTAGGATGGGCTTCCTTTCCCCTCAGCTGCCTCTGAGTTACTSGATGGAAATAACCTCATAAATGCAAAAATAATTCTTCATCTAGGTCCTGCTCTTAAAAGTATATGTAAAAGACAATTCCCTGAGCTCCAGAACCACCCCCCCTTAAGATTGTTTTTCAGTTTCTCCCAGTAAAGTCCCCAAAGAATGATTATTCCTTTGCTCCTGCTGATTTGGTTTCACACACCTGCATGCATCACCATGACTAGAATGTGAGCTTGCTGCTGTCCCAGGGATATAATTTAACAAGAAGGAAGGCAATGACCTGCTCCTGGTGAATCCAGCCACTTGTTTAATATGCATGGTGCCCTGTGGGGCCCTTCCACAGTATAGAGTAACCAGAGGTGCTGAACCGTGGCCTTGCCCACAAACAGACAGGAGAATTTGCACAATAAATACAGCCAGCTGAGAAAATTGATGCTAGTGTAAATAATACATGGCAAACCTAGTCCTTTATGCAGAAATTCATTGCTGGTGGTTCCAAGATGCAATATAATTACACCTCTTCCTGCCAGCTGTACCACAGYCTTGTTCCTTAGTGTATGAAATAAAGCCGCCCCCCCCTCATCTGATACCACTACCGTGGCCATTCGTCTGAGAGCTATAACCCTGTCTGGGAGGGGAGGATCATGCCAGGGGAAGGAAAACAAAAGGTGAAGTAGAGAAATGATCAGGATTGTGTACTCATCACATTTTTTTTAAAGGTTACTCTTCTTGATTAGAGAACCTGTTGTGTAATCAGTTGTATCCTGGGTGCAGGAAAAGTGGGTCAGAGTTACACTTAGAAGATACAACATTTATGGGTGATGACTGAAATGGGTAGTAACAAGCAGGGAGGATGAGCAATGAGCAGCAGGCTTGCACAGGGGTGTCTGAGTGAGGACAGGATTGGTGAGTCTAAACCCTGATTCTTGATCCCACAGAAGACCCTAGGACAAAATCAATCTTCAGAATCTACACCATTTTGGTTGGCACTTTCCTGGAGTCATACTAAGAAGCACTGCATTAAGCTAGGAATGGCATAGCTCTGCCCTTCATGGTACCATTTGGGCATCCAGAACCCACGGCAGATATCATCAGCCATCACAGCCACTCTTTTCTGTAGAACTTGGAGTACTTTGCAGTTTTTCCTCAGTGCAGCACTACAGACAGATGCTACTTGTCAGTTCAAGGTGGCCTGGTTGCCCCCTCTGTCCTGGGCAGACTTGTCCTGTTCCCTGTGTGAGTTTAGGTACTTCCTACCTGACTGAGAACCCTCGAAAAGTGCAGTTTGAGGGGCATATAAAGATCACCTGGCCCATCGTGTCATTTATAAAAGAACTTGGGGCTTAAAGGAAAAGTGGCAGTCCCAGGGCAGAACAAGGGCTTGCAGAACAAGGGCTTGCAGAACGAGGACTCTTAGTTCCTAGGTCAGGACTGTTGCTATCCCCACGGGGCCTTGCAGTTTCCAGCCTTGTAGTTGTGTTTCTGCTGGGGCATGGCTGCAGCTGAGCTGCACAGCCTTTGCCCAGGTGCTCACACTAGCCATGGGAGAGTGTTCTATTCCTGGCTACTCCAGACCACCAGGCAGCATTGCTGCAGGCACCTGGGTGGCCTGCTTTATCCCTTTGGCTCTTGTTCCTAGACCAGGCCTTTGTCTTGCCTGCATGCTGCTCCACTCTCCATCCTGGCTGTACCACACTGCAGGCTCTTAAAAGGCCTCCAGCAAGTGGGTTCTCCTGCCAGGGAATCTTTTGTTCCGTTGGCTTATGTGCATGCCTTTGCCTGTCCCTCACAGTGCCTGATGCATACCCATCCTGACATCCTCCCTTATGTCCCAATCATGGGCTAGATTTTCATAATAGCTCCCCTGTACTAGTCACCTGTACTTTCTGTTCATGTGTCTGCCCAGGAGCCCAAGCTCCACTCCAAGAGCTCCCTGTCAATTTTTCTCTTATTTTTCCATTTTATGGGTGCTTGTGAAATGAGTGGGATTGAACACATTTTAAAGATGGCCAAGGAGGAATGCAGGAATGTCTTCTGGATCTAAGTAGTCATTAAGTTCCCATAGTCACTTTTTACAGCCCTCTACAGGAGACTGGTATGTCCTTTATTTGAAATAAGATGGAATTAATGTTAAGTTCCTACTGTGTGCTAGCACTGATGGCATGGCACTTGAACTAAAGACTGTCAGGCAGAAGTCCCCTGCCTACCACCTCTTTTTGGTGCTGGGGATTAAATTCTCATGCATGCTAGGCAAGTGCTCTCCCACTGARCTAACATCCCACTCCTCTGTGTATTATTGAGGCCAGTTGGCACTGCAAGTTTTAAAACCTGGCTTAAAGATGAATCAACAAGGTCACTCATCTCTGATAATRTGAAGTCCAGGATTGGTAGCAGAGGGCCTTTCTGCTCTGTTCTTGTTTTGTATTTTGTCTTAAAGCTTGTTGCCCTCATCAAAAGAACTTGCCCTCTGGATTGATACCGCTCTGAGCATCAATCCAGGTATGACAAAATCTACAAGCAGGAAAGGGATCACCTACTTTTGTCCTTTGAAGAACAAGGAAAATGCAGAAGTTCCTTCTAACCAAAGCTGACTTACTCTGTATCTGATCAGTCAAATTGCTTCATACRCCCATGTCTAATTCAGTAACTGGCAGAGGAAGTGGGGCTGCTGTGATTGGTTGAGATCAGCCAGGAAATAGCCCTGGAGCTGGGGCTGGGGGTGGGTTTTCCTGAAGCAAATGCTGTGGTCTACTGGAAAGGGGGGAGAGTGTAGAGGAATCAGACATTGGGTGGGCCTGCCATAGTCTAGAGGGCAAGTTCATCCAGGCTCCCTTATGTTTGTTCAGGCCCTGTACACGTGACTCATGGTGACATTAGAACAGCTGTGTGACACAGGGAATCTTTCTATCTTACAGATGGTAAATGAGAGCTCCGTGAGGTAAAGCCAATAAGTGATAGCACAGGACTCCAAACTTGAATCTATCTGATGCCTAACCCACTTCTTCCCAATTTCACATTGCCTTCAGCTATAAATATGCAAGTGTTTTAACAAAATTCTTTTTCATATTTTGCCATGGTAGCAGCAAAGGCTGCATATATCCCAACCTCTTTCAGCTTAGCTCACCATAAAACTCTGGATCAGAGATCTACTTTATCAGCTTTTTCTGATTTTCCCTAGGGAAGAGAGTGACAAACACTCAGAGAAGGCAGATATCATTAGTATTAAAGAGAAGTGGAGGTTTAGGGGGAAATAAAGCTGAATAAAAAACAACGGGGCTTTGCATCCCTGAGACATGAGCCAGGAGGAGATAAGGGATTTAGATGCATATCCCTCTAGGTTTTTGCCGTGTTCTAACATGGAASTGTCTGGGTAGAGTTACAACTGCAATTTTGTGTGTGGAAAATGGGCATTAGAGGAGGCTCTTGTGGTACTGAGGGTTAAATCCAGGGCCTCATTCATGCTAGGTAAGCAGTCTACCACTGAGCTGTATCCCCAGCCCCTCGCCCTTTATTTTCTTTTTAGAGTTAGGTATATAATGAATCAAAGGGGACCCTGGGGGCTGAGGATGAAGCTCTGTGGTAGAGTACTTGCCTAGCATGTTTAAGGCCTTTGGTTCAATTCTCAACACAGCAGGACAAATTTAAAAAAAAAAAAGTTTTCTGAATGCTTTTCAACATTTTTTCTTATCTACTGCACTGGTTAGATTAACTTCCAGTATTCTGTAGGTAGAAGCAACAATAGCCATCATCCTTGTCTTGTTCCTGACTTTARRAGGCCCTTTCCAATATTTTATCATTGAGTTAGAACTTGGAGGGTAGTTGGCTCTGGTAGAATTCTTGCCCAGCATGCATGAGGCCCTGGGTTCCCTCCCTGGCACCATACCACCCCCCAACCCCCCTACCCCCATAAAACTAAACAAAACCCAAACACCTCTAGTGTTTCTCACCAATCTTGGAACAGGTGCTTTAGCTGCAGCACATATGGACTCCTTGAGTAACGCTCAAGTCCCTTTTCTTCCCTGGCATCTTTTATTTATGGGCACAGTGAGGGGCACAGGGGTACAGGGGATTGAGCCCAGGGGCACTTAACCACTGACCCACATCCCCAGTCCCTTTTTTGTATTTTATTTAGAGACAGAGTCTCACTTAGTTGCTTAGGGCCTCGTTAAATTGCTAAGGCTGGCTTTGAATTCACAACCCTCCTGCCTTAGCCTCCTGACCAGCTAGGATTACAGGCATGTGCCACCGTGCCGTGCCCAGCTTCCCTGGATCCTTCATAGTCTCTGGACATTATAGCCTCAGTTTATGTTTATGTTTTACCAGAAGACAAAGGACCAGTGCTGAAAAGGATACAAAGTCAAGGAACATTTTTTTTTTCTTTTTTGGTAATGGGAATTAAACCCAGGGGTGCTTTACTACTAAGCAACATCCCCAACCTTTTTTAAAATTTTGAGACTGTCTCATTCAGTTTCTGAGGGTCTCACTAAAGTGTTGAGGCTGGCCTTGAACTTGGCAGTCCTTCTGCCTCAGACTCCTGAGTCACTGGGATTATTGGTGTGTGCCACCATGCCCAGCTAAGGAGCAGGATTTTTAACATTTCAACTAAGTTGGTCTTAGCTCTGATATTTACTTGTTTTATGACAGTGGATGAGTGACATGGACTTCAAGACAGTTTCATCCACTGAGGAATGGGAAAAGTAATGCCTATTTCATAGACTTGTTTTAGGGTCATGTATCATAGGTAATATCATATTACCAGGTGTATCATAGGCACTCAATCTTGTATCATTGGGAGGCTCATGATGCCTTAGAGATACTGGTGAGAGCTTCTGTCCAGGAAGGGCAGCTTCATGGTGGTGTGACTGGTGCAGTCATCTTGGACACCTTGCTCAGAAGGGCCCAGCCCTTAGTTTAAAGCTGTGTTATGGCCATCTTGTAATTTTGAATTTCTGACCAAGGGTTCTCATTTTATACTGTGCTTGCAAACAATGTGGCYAGTCTTTTTTCAGGAATGGCTTCAGTTTGGATCCTTCTTTTTGGGAGCTCTACTACCACTGATTTCCTAGGGAATAACTCCCYTAGAATTAATACATAATTTACCCATAAATAAATTAGGGCTAGCATCCTGTGTATGTTTAAGTGTTCCATTCTGGCATAACCTCTTCAGCCTGTCTCAGAAAGGAATACTTTGTATTTTACAGAATATATGAGGTCCTGAGAAATTCCACTGGGGTGCCTAGTGAAGTAGAACGATGATACAGGATTTAGGAATCAGGGAAAGATCTAGGTTCAAAACCCTGCTAAGCCCTTCCTGGCTGAGTTCCTTGGACAAGATAATGTCTCTGTCCTACTGGTAAAATCTATGTTGCAGGGGAATTACATTTTCCTTATTGGTAAAATATATATCTCAGGGGAATTAAACAGGTAATTCATGTAAAATGACCTTTCAGCAGAGAATCTGGCACATAGTAGGTGTTCAATCACTATTAATTTTTCCAGTTCTTTCCAGAACTAACAAAAATCAGGGAACTAGGACTTATAAGCCTTTTTGCTAYTAATAAAAGAAATAATAAGATTTATTTTTTTACTACTGTTTGGGGAAAGGCATGTGCTTCATAAATATGTATTGGAAAGTACTTAGCAAATGAGTAGAAATAATAAAAATATGTCAAAGTAAACAGCTCCTATAAATATGTCACTTGGTAGACAAATTAGTGTTTTATTACTACTAAATACTATTGCTCACCGAAAAGGATTTCAGATTACTTGCACAATGGGTACATTATGGAGTGCCTCTGTGGAAAGGCACGATAAAGATGAAAAATAGTGATGGTGATAATGCCTAAGGTGGAGAAAAGAGGAGTATGGGTAAATGCAGCTCCGAGGCCTCATCGCTTCAATGATATGCACATTATTTAGCAGTATTCCAATGATTTAGCCATAATATGGACCAGAGGGCCCAGAGAAAGATTTCCATGGGATGTCATGAATCCAGACTCCAAATTACTGGGTCCAATTAGTGGATTAAATGCACTCCCTTTCAGAACTCAGCACTCAGTTTATAAACCAAGTTTACAAAAAGGATATCCCTGACTGTCATTTTACCCTTATTTTGGACTTATTATATTTTCTCTGGGTATGATTCATATGCAGAGAAGAGGTGTTGTGGAGAACACTACACCTCTGTCACTGCTCAGGAATCCATTTCARAAACAAGAGAGGATGGACAATGTCGGCATCTCAAGGGAAAAGGAACCAGAGAGGGAAAAGAGGGACTTTATTCTCTTTTTGTGGGGAAGAATAAACCTCTGGAAAGAAACAGAGAAGACAGGGAATTGCATCAAGGAAAGTTACAAAAATAGCCAGGTAGGAAAAAATATGGGCACATTTAATTTAGGTATAGAAAACTTCTAGATCTTTCTGTGCATTCCAGGTGAAGGAAAAGAAGTGGTTTCACATTCCAGCTTATCTGTATGGTTTTGGGTAAATTACTTAATATGATAACATGAAATAATAGCACTCAGTTTACTTTTTTTTTTTTTTGCACTGGGAGTTGAACGCAGGGATGCTTTACCACTGAGCAACATCTCCAGCCCCTTTTATTTTTTATTTTGAGAAAGGGTCTCACTAGTTGCCCAAATTGGTTTCGAATTTGCAATTCTGCCTCAGCCCATGGAGTAGCTGGGATTGCATATAAGAGCCACCACGCTGGGTTTCCTGGGCTGTTTTGAGGATTGGAAATAAAGATATTTATAAAATGACAAAGCCTGATGCATATTTATTTTTATATCAATTTTTCTTATGATATTCCTTATTTTAAAATACAAGGAGCTGGGGATATAGTTTAGAAATGGCAAGGCTCTGGGTTTGATCCCCAACACAACAAAAATAAATAAAAAAATGAATAAATAAATACAAGGAAATTGTGTCATTAGACATCAGTCAAAAGAAGGATTAGCATTTATTTATTTTCATACCTAGGCATCTTTTTAGCTCAGGTTGGCTAAGGACCCCCTATGCTATCCTCGTGCATTATAGTTTACTAAATGCTAGGGCATCAGGTCATTTAATTCGCAGGGCAACCTGCATTCCTGGGATGGGGAAGAGTTCAGAAAGGTTAAGTGCTTTGCTGAAGGTACTCAGCGGATGAATGGCCCAGGTGGTTCCTTGGCGGGGTCATCTGCAGTCTACCACAGCCTTTCTCAGCAGTTTCCCAACCTTCCTAAGGCGAAAGCACTAATCCCAGGGGTTTAGACTGGGAGATGCTACAGGAGGGAGGTGCCAGAGCGCGAGCGGACAAGGACGGGTCCTGATGTCCCAGAGCTCGGGATTCCCWCATCTCCCAGCTGTGGGACCTCGACCGGGCCGGGTTTCTTCCGCGGGGGACTGGGGAATCATCGCCCGCCCCAAAGCACTGGGTGCGGAACGCCAAGCTACCGAAGTGAGGCCACTTCCAAACTCTATGAAACGAATTCAAAGAAGTTAAGGGACTCGCTCAAGGTCATCACACCGGGGCTAGGCCCAGCCGAGACTCAGACCCTGACCCTTCGCTCGGGCGTCAGACTTGTGCGGCTCAGGTAACAAGGCGCCCCAGACGCCCTGCTTTCTGCGCACCCAAGCTTCACCGGCTCCTGCCGGCCCCGCCTGCCGAGCCTCGGCTCCGCCAGGGGGCGCGCGCGGAGAGCGCGCTCTAGCCGCCGCGCGCCTCGCTCCTCTCTATGGTGGAGCGGCAGGGCGGAGGCGCGCTCCCGGGCGGGGGCGGGGCGATCCGGGGGCGGAGCCGCGCGAGGGGCGGGAGCGGCCGCGCCGAGCCGCCAGGGGATGGGTTGGGGGGGGCGACTTCCTGGGGCCGCCCGTGAGGATGTCGCGACCGCCCCCCTGTGCCCCTCAGCCCCGGAGACGCCGCCTCGGCGAAGCCCGCACCCCCCCTGTCTGAGGTGTCTGGGCCCGGATCCGGCCTCTCCCCTCCCCTCCTTAACCCAGGTGCGGGCCGGGCAGGCGGCCGCGGCAGGTGAGGAGGCGGCGGCGGCGCTGGGGTCCGCGGGACGCAGGGCCTGGGGTGGGGTCTGGCGGGAGGACGGGGGCCGCTCCTTGGCCTCCGGTACCCTAGASTGTGGGCTGGGGTCGCCTCCTCCGTGTGGGGCGCGGCCTGGGGCTCTCCCTGCCCTSCAGGGATGGGGAAGCACCTTCATCGCTGGAAGTCTCTGCGTTCAGGGTAGCYCACACCTGTCCCATTGAAAGTGCCCTCAAAGCATTTCACCCACGGGGACGGTAACCGGGGACGGTGTGTCCTCCGCTATACCCAAGCGCCTTAGAGACTGGCAGGTCCAGCTGGTTTGTGGGGCAGGACGCCTCTTTGTAAGGCAGAGGAAACTGAGGCAGGTTTGCGGCGGCCTGCTCTCCCCTCTATAAGAGCTAGCTTGTCCCCTCCCTAGTTGAGGAGCCCCGCGGGCTGCTTGGATGAAGGAGGAGGCTGAAGGAGAGAGGCTTGGAGTTTGGAGGTATGATGGAGAAGTTTGGGAATGCAGCTCTTATCCCACAGGGTCCGCAGTTCCTTCTCCTGGGAGTCGTCCTCTCCAGGATGTGTGAAAGGTCGCCACTGTGCGGCACTGGGCAAGGCAGAGAGGGAAGTGGGGCCTCTCTCCAGCTGGCTGCCCGGGAGACATTTGACTAGGCATGGGGAAGTCTGGCTGGACCAGGGGAGCCCAGAGCCTCCGCGGATCTGCCTGCTCAGAGCTTGATTTTAGGCTGGCAGAAGAGACAACAGCATATTTTCTTCTTGTTGGTCTGTCATTTGTTATAGGGGGGAAACCCGTGTAGTCAAGGAAGAGTGCCTGGTGCACGCCTGTAATCTCAGCTGCTTAGGAGGCAGAGGCAGGAGGATGGCAAGTTTGAGGCCAGTCTCAGCAGCTTAGTGAGACCTTGTCTCAAATTAAAAAAATTAAAAGGGCTGAGAATGTACCTCAGTGATAAAGTGACCCTGGGTTCAATCTCCAGAACCAAAAAAACCCCCCAAAACAAAAAGTACCACACTCTTCCCAGTCTACTACAGGAACGAATTATTGTTAGCTTGGAAATAGGGCTTTGCCCATAACTGTCACTTTGCACCCTGGTTACAGGGCAGAGTGACAGATGAACAAACATTGTAGGGTGCATATAGCATTTTAAGAAAGCAGTAAGTTCCTTTACATCCTTTGGACTGGTGGTTTAAAGAGCAGAGATTTCCTGTTACCACTGTTACTACAACTGAGAGCCCTGTAGTTCTCTCAGTGATGGTTAGTGTATTGAAACGAAGGCAAGGCTGTTCATGTATTGTACCATTTTTCTAGGAACTCAAATAGTCAGGGGACATGGGCCTAGGCAGAGTTTGTATACAGAGATCTAGAACTGAAAGCTGGCCATATTTCTTTTTCTGGTAAGGGGATTTCAGGTTTGACAACTTTACCCTTTTCCCTGATTGCATTCTCTTTCACATTCAAGGAAACATATGATGAAAAGCATTTCGTAAATTTTATTGCATATTTCTTAATTCCGGACTTCAGAGTACAATTCATAAGTTAGGGTTTATTTAGAGGTATTATTTTCTTAAGTTTGAAAATGTTTGTATATTGGGCATAACAGTTGCAGATTGATGTGTCAGGACTAATAACTTGATTGTGCATGAATATATGTCATTTAGGATATACACACATTTTAATGTCTACCTAATTATGAAGAACAGCTCATTAAAACTTCTCATATTGATCAGCTGTTATCCTGTTTACATTGGGATCGAGGATTGTAAATCTTCTAAATTGACCACTTTAGCCAACTGTTAAAATAATGAGCACAAAGAGAGAGCTGTTCTCAGAAAGCTCAACAATTTGTTTTCAAACTTTCTCTTGGCCCAGTCAGTTGACATAACTCTGCCTAGTGCCATTTAATAAGAATACTGTTCCTATTAGTGCAAAAGGCATTTTCATTGACCAGTGTGTAAGATGAGGAAACATCAACAAAAACAAAGAAAAGGACACCTTTTCTTTTCTAATTACATGTGCACTGTGATGTTTAATACAGCCAGCCACTCCTGTCTGTATTGGTGTCACCCAGTACTTTGTGAAAACACCTACAGAAACTTAAGGAATGTTGGACTAATTCCACCTTGATTTTTATTCTTGTAATAGAATTTTTAATACTGTTGCTGTTTTAATGACAGAGACTTTTATACCAAACTTGTACTGACAGTAATGTTTATGTTTGGAGAGCACAAGATTTAACCTCTGTACTTTGGAAATTCATAACCTCTGCAATACAGAGTTAAGGTGTAATTTAGAGTTTAACGAGAACAGATGGTTTAGATTGCCTTTGGTGAAGTCTCAAGGGAAGAGCTGTTTTGTTTTTATTATTGTTGTTTGGTAATGACTACTAGTTTGGTGTAGTTACTGATTGATGGTGGTTATTGTTATTATTGTGGTACTGGGGATCTAACCCAGGGCCTCCTTCATAAATGAACACATTCTACCACTGAGAGATATCTGCAGCTCCATGTTTGGTTACTGGTTATTGACAATGTTATTTGATGTTTGTATAAAAAAGATTTTTCAATTATAAGGACAGTTTTTTCATATACAAACACACAGTCTCCCATTCTTAAATAGAGAAAAGTTCTGATATAGGGAAAAGTTCATTTTATTTTGTGACCTTATAGTCCTAGAGTTTTAAAATCCTAAAAATAGTTGAGCCCTTAGTAGAATATCCTTTTATATCTCAGATAAAAGCCATCTCAGGTAAGTAATCATTGGCCTCAGGTGTAAATATACCTCCTTTCTTCCTGCTCCCAGGATTTAACAGCTGCCACGGTTGGGACATCGGTCTTATCTAATCCTGTTATGCCAGTCTAAACCCATGATCCTTTCTCTTCATTAGATTGTCATGAAGTTCTTCCTTTACTTTTCTTATTCAGCCTGAATATCCCACATTTTTGATGCATTTGAGTCTGATTACATCTGAAGTGGAGCTAAGCAGTTAAGAATACTACATGTACTACATGTTTTAAAACATTTTCTTCTTTTAAAGCAAGCATAAAACCTTTCTTCTGGGAGAGGACCAGCTCTTTAAATCTGATAGTAAAAAAGAGCTGGTTTTTCCAGCTTTCTACCAATAGGAAGTCTTCATTTACTTTTTCTTACTTTCTGGTTTTGCCAGTGCACCAACTAGTCACTAGTAGTGAATTATGACCCAGTGGCATAGGAGGATCCTGAAGTTTCCTGATTCATCAAAGGAGGGTCACATTGTATTTAGAGCAGCTTTAGATTTTTAGCTTTTATTGCAAGGAGTTACCTAAGGCCAGCCACTCCTTGCAAGATTCTCTACCTGGCATTTTGGAATTGAGTCACCCAGGCGTTCTTTTAAAATGCAGATTTCCCAGCCCCACCTCCTGGACATTTTGGTTGAGTAGGTAAGTGATGAACAGGAATCTCTATTTAAAAAACTTCCCTCACATTATTTCCAAAAAGCTCCTCGTGCTTTTGATATGCAGCCTAATTTGGGAACTGTTGCATTTTCTTTTTAACTGTATTTCCTGTGCAACAAGCCTTATGGAACTTTGAAAATTGGGGTTCACTTCTGTTTTTTAAAATTATTGAAATTGTATGCTCTGAAACTCTTTTTAAATTGGTAGTTCCTCTAATAGCATCATGCTGTCCATGACGTTTGATTTGCTAGAATAACCTATTTCCTAGTCCTGACAAATAACAAAGAGCTTTTATAACTTTTATGTTAATTGCTTTACAGCAAAGCACCTCTGCTGTATTATCTGTCAGGAGTCATGAGGGAGAGTTTCTGGTGAAAGTAGCTTTCTTTATCTCATGAGTGGACAAATGAGTGATAATGTGGAAACAACTGGAGGTCTGAATTGGTAGCCGAATCTAGTTTTGATCAATGATGGGAGATGCCTGGGAATTCTCTATGTAAGAATTTAAAATAAGCCAACCAAATGAAGAAAAATATGCATACTAAAGTTAAGATAGCAGATGTTTTTCGTACATTGTAGGCCACTCAGTTTCTCTTCCACTTTTTCTGTAGGATTTTTATTTTGTAGGTTTAAGATGTCTTTCTAAATCTAGCCTTTATATCTCTTTCCAGGAATATCTACTCAGCTCTTGTAGAAAGTGTACTAGAGTAGAAAGTGAACTAGAGAATATGGGTAAGAAAAATGAGTCATAGGACAATTAGCAATGTTTAAATTTTTTTTTTTCAGAATGAGTGGAGTGTTGGCACGTGCCCAGAGTTACTATCTGCAAGAATAAATTAATAACGTTATCCAAATTCTGCTGTATGTATTTGGATGGTAGCCCAAGAGCTCTGATTAGGCTATAAGGCTTTGAGGGTGGTCCTATTAAGTAGTACCTGACATCCATTTTTTATCTTCCTTTCTCCCTTTTTGGTCTTCTTTTTTATTCTTTCCTTCTGTGTCTCTCTCTTTCAAGGTGTCCTTCCTGACTTGCCAATCACGCCATAATAATATAGGCTGGGCCCCTAGAACTTGAGGCTAAAAGAGGTTGCTGGTTGCTAACACCTGTCTTCCAGCTAAATGAATAGGCTCTTTTGTGTGCAGGATGTTAAAGAAGCTGATTAGTACAATACTGGCTTTAAGGGCCTAATAATGATACAGCATGTGTAAATCATGGAGTGATTTAAAGCCATTTTAAAAATTAGTTTCTTTATACCGTTTATTTATTTTTTATATTGGATTGTCGAATTTTTGCACCTAAACTATGAATCTGTTTATTGCCTAAACAGACTAATTTCTGTCATATTGATTGGGAATCATTTATATTCTAAAGAAGTTTCTACCCTTAAGGGCCTTTGTATTGTTCGGTAAATGTCTAGTGTGTAATACAATTAAAGTTTTGTTCACTGTGCTGCTGACATAATTAGTTTAATTTCTTCTCCTTTATATATTCCTGTTGGCAGCTGGAAAATTAAAATACTAGATGTTGCATAAAAGTGCTTTTTTGAGGGGTGATTTTA